CAGTGTGGCCAGTGTTGTTGAATGGCAAAAGAACTTCAAATCAACACATGATAAGAGACTGACTTCTGAACTTGAATCTGGAAGACTTTTAGATGGTGAGTTTGGATTTCCTCTTGGGGTACCAGCAGGGGTGGAGGATTTAGATGATTTCTTTCGCCAAAAGATAAGTGGAGTTCGTGTATCAAGGGTAGCCTTAACCATGAGAGACATAGTACAAAGAAAAGTAGATGAAGCTTTTCAATTTTTTTATGGCAAAGAGAAAAAGCATTTGGGTGGTGTGAGCATAGTTAGAAACCCTTTATCTGAAAACTGGGATGATGGGTATCAGATAGGCCAACAAGTGGTAATGGGATTATTAGATTGCATGAGGCAGACTGGTGGTGCAGCTCAGGAAGGTGATCCTACTTTGGTCTCATCGGCTATATCTGCAATTATTTGTAATGCTGGACAGGTAATTGCAAAAATTCCTGATCTAGCTTCTTGTAATAATCATCTAAACTCCTCGGTCACTTCCGATTCATTACAAATCGCACGGCGTATCTTGCGAGTACATTTAACCTGCCTTTGCCTACTAAAGGAAGCACTTGGAGAGCGTCAAAGTCGTGTCTTTGAAGTTGCTCTTGCAATAGAAGCTTCTTCTGCTGTGGCACAAAATTTTACCCCTGGAAGGGCGCCTCGTTCTCAGTTTCAAATGTCTCCTGAATCCCATGATCTCACTGTTAAATTTGGTGCTGCTGTTTCTGCTCTTGTTATTGGAGCAATACTTCAGGGAATTGTGAACCTCGAGAGGATGGTTTCCCTCTTCAAATTAAAGGAAGGTCTGGATGTTATTCATTTTATAAGGAGTGTGAGATCTAATTCAAATGGGAATGCACGCTCAGTTGGGGCTTTCAAGGGCGATAGTTCAGTTGAAGTTTCCGTCCACTGGTTTAGGGTACTTGTTGGGAATTGTCGGACAGTTTCTGATGGATTTATCGGTGATTTACTGGGAGATGCTTCCATTATAGCTCTATCAAGAATGCAACGAACATTGCCTTTGAACTTAATTTTTCCTCCTGCCTATTCGATGTTTGCATTTGTACTCTGGAGGCCGTTCATTCTTAGTTCCAGCCTTGGAGCTCGTGATGATATCCAACAACTGTATCAGTCTTTACTGTTGGCCCTTGGTGATGCCTTGAGGCATCTTCCCTTCCGTGAAGTATGTCTGAGAGACACTCATGGCTTGTATGATCTTATCGTTGCAGACACAGTTGATACTGAATTTGCATCCTTTCTAGAATCAAATGGTTCAGATATGCGTCTGAGGGCTTCTGCCTTTCTTCCTCTTCGTGCGAGATTGTTTCTAAATGCACTTATAGATTGTAAAATGCCACCGTCAATAGGTCAACAGGAGGATGTTAATAGGATTTCGGTACAAGGTGATTTGAAAGTGCATTATTCGGAGAAGGCAAAGCTTGTACATATTTTGGATACCTTGCAGCCTGCAAGGTTTCATTGGCAATGGTTGGAGATTAGACTGCTTTTTAACGAACAAGCTGTGATTGAAAAATTGGACCGGCATGATACTTCTTTGGTGGAGGCTTTGAGGTCTCTCTCACCGAATTCTGATAAAGCTGCTGCTTCTGATAACGAGGGCAACTTGATTGAAATAATTCTTACTAGGTTACTTGTCAGACCTGATGCGGCTGCTCTCTTTTCCGAGGTTGTACATCTTTTAGGAAGGTCGCTTCAGGATGCAATGCTAAAGCAAGCCAAATGGTATCTAGAAGCCCATGATGTTCTTTCCGGAAGAAAATCTGTCCACCAGAAGCTTTTTAGTGTTGCGGTGACTAAAGGTCTGTCCACTAAGCCTCAATATCGGAGGCCATGGGGATGGTGTGCCCCCGATGTTTCTTCTCTTGAAGAAGGAGAAGTCGTTGATGAGGTGATGGCCGTAAAGCGGTCTGGTAGAGGGTCTGGTCATTTTCAGGATGTCGATGGCTTCCCCGTTGCTCACCAGCATAAAACTCAGAGAGCTTTCGTAGAATTAGTTCTTCCTTGCGTGGATCAGGCTTCTGATGACACGCGGAACAGATTTGCCGCTGATATGATCAAGCTCATTAATGCCATCGAGCAGCAAATAAACACGGTTACTCGTGAAGCGAGCAAGCCAGCTGGAGCTGATAGTCCGACAACGAAAGTGAGTAGTCGTAAGGGTTCTAGAGTTGGCAGTCCGGGATTAAATAGACGGACAACTGGACCAACTGAAACTGTGCCACCTTCCCCCGTGGCATTGCGAGCGTCCATTTCATTGAGGCTGCAGCTCATCCTGAGAGTACTCCCGATAATATGTGCAGACGGGTAAGTTTACAATTTACTGAATTGTCATATTCTCTTAACGCCATTCTGAATTTTTAAGGTTGATCTCATAACTTGGGTATTTTTCGTTTTGCAATTGGAATGTCAGAGAACTGTCGGGGCGGAATATGAGATACACGCTTGCTTCAGCAATAATGCGTTTGCTTGGAAGTCGGGTTGTATATGCTGATGCTGGCCACTGCTTTAACTCGACGTTTAGTTCGAAAAGAGAGGCGGATTCGTTTATGGAGGTTTGTGGTACCACTTCAGATGCTGTAATGGGGGGAAGCCTCTTCGATTGTTTGTTATTGGTGCTACATGCGTTGCTGAGTAGCCACCAACCGAGCTGGCTAAAGATGAAATCGAGCTCCAAGTCAGCCAGCGAATCTAGCAAGGACCACACCGCCTTTGATCGTGAAGTTGCCGAGTCTCTCCAGGTTTGATCTTTCAACCGTTTTTTATACACCCGTTCTTCGTTCCCTATGCGACAAAAAAAAAACTTATTTGTACTTTCTGCAGAACGATTTGGATCAGATGCAATTGCCCGATGCAATTCGTTGGCGAATCCAAACTGCAATGCCAGTTCTATTCCCTTCGGTTCAGTGTTCGATTTCTTCTCAACCTCCATCCGTATCGCCTGCTTCTCTTGCGTCTCTTCTACCTAGCAACCCCATATCTGTGTTACAATCCGGTGTGAGCACAAACTCGAGCCAGAGGAATCCTACTTCTTTACTTAGGGCAGCCACTAATTCGGCAGGGAAGAACAAGCAATCACCGCTGCCTCCACAGCAAGACCAGGATCTCGAATTCGACCCGTGGATTCTTTTGGAAGACGGGGCAGGGTCAAGCCAGTCATCGAGCAGCTCTACTATAGGCGGGAGCGATCATTCTAATCTGAAGGCTGCTGGCTGGCTCAAGGGCAGCGTAAGGGTAAGGAGGACAGATCTCACTTACGTAGGTGCAGTTGACGATGATAGCTGATTCTTCGAGTAAACAAAATCCATTTTCCAGTCTGCCAAGAACGCCCCTCTTCCCCGACATCAGCCTCCTATTCTATCCGCCTTTTTTGGTGGCTGGGAAGCGCCATTCCCGGGGGCCTCTCCTTCGCCTTTAAGACGTGCACCGAGCTGCCATGACTGACATTCTTCTTGTGCAGGAGCACAGAACTACTACAACTACTCCATGGCCCTGCCCAACTACTAACCAACCCTTTTGATTATGCCCATTTTCCGGACTGTGTAATTCTTTTGAAGCAGGTTCGGAGGTTTGTTGTACATATTAAAAAATATTATTGTTTCCCGTTCTGTTTTTGTTGTTTTGATGATCTGAACACCTGATTAAAGTACCCCAGGAATGATCTGTAGCTGTTTAATGCTCAGCAATATCATCTCATGTTTCTCCAACTACTTAGTACTTACTACTACTTGTCTATTTTATATAGTGTTGTCAAAATCTTGCCTAGACATCAATTAATCGGTGCTTAGGCGTTGGCCAGTCGCGTAGTGTATAGCCGCGTAGCGTATTGCCTTAATTGGTGGTTTAGGCGGTCGACTAGGCCTCTTAAACGTTGCCTAGGCGCGGTTCTCATAGGCAGGTTGATTAGCAACTTTTCTTTATTTTAAAAGGAAAATGGTCAAATATGCCCCTAAACATTACTTGAAAAGTCAATTAGGTCTTTAAACTTTAAAAATGCACAGTTACACCCTTCAACAGGTTATATTGAGGCAATTAGGTCCAAAAACACGTCATATTGTAACAATTAGGTCCAAAAGTAGGTAAATGACCTGCAAGTTCACAATTCAGAGTTTACCCCGTGCGCATCCTGGGCAATGACTGTGGACTTCTCTTATTATCCCAAAAAAAAAAAAAAAAGAGTACTATATTTGTGATTCAATTTATCATTATGACTTTCTTATCTTTTCTCGATCATGATAAGCGTAGTGACCTTTTTAAGAATCCAAGTCCACTTCGTCAATCAATTTGCTTGTAATCTTCCAAGTTCCAACCAATGCATACATAAGCACCTACATGGATTATTAAAAAAAAAAAAAAAAAAAAAAAAAAAAAAAAAAAACACCTACATCTATGCCAACAAACAAATAAATTTTGTATTTTAGTTAAAATCAAAACAAAATATCTAAAATAATAAATACAAAACTCCAATTTCCAAATGAATTATCGTCCCCTCTATACGTACCTATTTTCTATTGACGACACCATTTTCGACTTCAATAATTTCTGGTAGACACCGACCACACTAAAAGCCTTGATAGTAGACACTATTAACGACTCCAAAAGTTCTATTCGAGGCCACCATTGAGAACGACGGAAGAATAGGGTTAAAAAGAGGTGCTCAAATATATATGTTTACTCAATCAATTCTTTGTCTGGCAATTGTCTTTTTTTTCCTACTTTTATCGATGTTGGATGGCAGAAGTGAAGAAAAATATAAGAGAAGTGATCGATTGGAGAAGTGCTAGCTTAGTCGGGCGCGTGCACTCTACGTGCCTAGCGGACGCGTTAACATAGTCTTTTCCTTTTTATTTTTTTTTTTTTTGAAACTGATTTTTTTTTTTCCTCTTTACTTCTTTCTTACTTGGCGTCTTAAAATTTGTGCAAAAACCAAGCTATTGAGGAGTCTTAGCAATCAATCATAGCCAAAGACAAAAGCCTGAAGAGTAAGATGATATGATAAGAAACATGATTTTCCTCATCAGAAGAAATCATGAACCATCAATCCTCTGAACGGCTGTCTTGAATCAATCCACTTCAATCACATACGGCTTTTGGGCTCCACTCCTCCGGAGATTCCCATGAAACGTCAAAATAATCCAAAACCAGACAGGGTAAGCCCCACAGTGATCCTGTGGAGCAGTTGAGTCATGAGGTCACGCACTGCATTTCCCAGATTGTCAAATCATAAACTATGTTTTCTTAACATTCTTTTCAAGTAGTATTAAAACTCTTCTTCTTCTTCTTTTTCTTCTTCTTCTTCTTTCGTTCATTCATGCTTCATCATCTCTTTTCACCAAAGTAGGTTCTTTGATCTCTGATCGTCTCTGATTTGGTTTGCACAGTTGTTCTGAGTTTTTTTCTTGAAACCCTTTTCCAGTTCACTTTTCTGGGTTGTCATTCTGAGAAATTTTGGGTTTTTTTTGAGTGTTTTGTGGGTTGTCATTTCTGGGTTTCCATTGATTTGGTTATATCTGAATTCTGAAACATCAGTGAACATTCTTGTAACTTGGTTGTATCTGTGTATCTGAACCATTTTCAGACATTCTTGTTTGTGAATTGTGCTCTAAAAACACCAACTTTTTGCCAGGTGAGTTGTCTTCTTGAGAGTAAGAAGGCAAAAGACAGATCTTTAGGAATTTTCTGGGTTGATTTGAGGCTAAAAGAGCAGGAAAAGATGGAGGTTGAAGGGAAGAAAGTGGCTGGTAATGGTGGTCAAGGGAACACAGCAAGTGAAGTGGCTGCCTTGAAGAAGTGCTTGGAAGAGAACAAAGGAGATCGTGCCAAGTGTAAGTCACAGATTGAAGCATTGAAGTCTGCTGTTGTTTCTCCAGAGAAAAGGGCACTGTCTCCACTGAGGTTGAGAACTGGTTCTTTGACTGAGGTTTAAAGCTCACAAATTCTTGTCCTGATTGCAAAGACTACAAGTTCTGTTGGAACCATCAGCTAATGTAGTATCTATAATCTATAATATGATTATGGGATGATCAGTCAAGACTCTTATGTGAAACTTGATAATGGGATTCTTGTTTCTGCAATCTTATGAGCATTTGATCCACACATATTGTGCTGTCTTATGGCTAAACCCTGTCTTGTAACTTTAGCCGGAAAATGACCATAAGGAGGTAAACCAGTTTATGTTAGGTTAGCCATAGCTGACAACTCAAACGATGGGTAATCCTTATTTTGTAACTCTAGCTGGTAAATGACCACAAAGAGGTAAACCAACTTAGGTTGACCATAGCTGACAACTCAAACGAAAAAGGCCAATAGGCCACTCCTACTGGAAGTTGAAATTGTAATCTTGTGGTTAACAAACCTGACCAACTTGGTTGGGGTTGCCCCGAGCTGTCATTGTATAAAGGATTTGTTGGTTTTGGTCCTTTTGGACATGAAAAGCTTAGATAAAATATGGTGGAAAATGGGTGATAAAGGACTAACTTAAATGTGCAGAAATTTGAGTCACAACCATAGATTATAGATATACAGCTAAAGTTTTGCAAGGGAAAAATTCTCTAATGTTAACAGTTCAAAATAATAAATATTGTCATATTACAAATGATGTCTGTCTGTCTGGCTACTACTACTACTGTTGATTCTTCATGGTTTTATCTACAAAAAGAACATCTTCAATCCAAGCAACAATGTTGAATGCCAAACCCTCCAACACTCTTGAATAGCTCTCCAGAATTGCCCTCCCAACATCCTGAAAAAATGCGAGTTTTAGACAGAAAACCCCATAAACTAGTTGGTATGCGGGTTGCTAGTAGAACTGCAAGGTTCGAGGATGGGAATACCGAGTGCCATACCCAAAAGTTTTAGACCAAAAAAAAGACAGGATTTTTACCTTATTGCATTGGATCTTGCATGTGTCCAATGTTGTCTGTGAAAGTTCAGGATACCTTTGCTTCAACGAAAACAGCAGTGTCTCTGCTCTCTCTGCTAAAACATGGTTTTTGTCAGTTCTATCGGTTTCGTTCATGAGATCTTTAACCATGTCCCAAGAGGCTTTTGAATGAGCCAGGCATGACTTTTTCCTCCATGTATACATGGAAGCCTCAACCTTGTCTGCAAGCTCAAGTGCTTCATGTTCAGAGCTTATGTTCAGGCTGTCAAGAAGATACTCGGGCGAAAATTTCTCTGCTGCATTCATGTATCGATAAATGGAATCTCCCACGCTCGCTTTTCCACTCTAAAACACAAGTTCCCAGAATAAGTCCCACTCAGACAACCTCAAAAACCATAGGAGATTCATGGAGAACAGACAGACAATCAGACAAATTAAATACCTTTGGAAGTGAGGCAATGTATGATTCTGGGATTTCCATTTCAGACAGAATGCAATTGTTAATAGCCATTGCTGCCTTGTGAATCTGGTTAGCACAGTTGCAATTGTGCCTCAAATTCTTCCTCGACTTCTCAGACATCCCACCAGAAGGAACACAAACAACTGGCAACCACCATTTTTCCTCCTTCCTCTGAGGCTGTGGCTGTGGCTGAATTATCCTCCTAAACGATCCAGATCGTGTTTTCCCCGGTGTGCTTCCTTCTTCAGTATACCAAAACTCAGTAGCCTCAAAACCGTCCAAAATCTCCTGCAATTCAATCAACTAGATAGTTAGCTCTGATACCATGTTATAATCAGAAATTAGACCAATATCCCTCAACTCGGCTATAATGGACTAAGCCATCCAATCAATTAGCCAGTCTAACCCATGATCTTGTAAACCCATATGTTTTTCTCTTATTTTATACATCTTTTAACTGCTAAAAGTAAAGAAGGAAGAAAATCTGGTTTTTAGCAGGCAGTGTTGAATCATACCAGAAGCATGTTGTCTAGTTTTCTCAATGCTGGAAGATTCATGTAGATATCAGATCTTGGCCTACTTGTCATCACCTAAAAAGGGCACAAAAAATCGCGATGAATATTTCGACAAAATCATGAAAAAAAAGTTTGTAATGAAAAAAAGTTTTACCTCAATAGGGCTGCCATTATGTAAAACCTGTGATGTGGGCACAAATTCTACTATGTAATCACACACAGACAGAAGGCAGTTCATTTCTCTTATCCACATTGCTTTCTTGTCAGGATGCAGAGGTTCCAGTTTCTGGTGCTGACCAAAGACAGAAGCTGCCAATTTCACCGGAACCCGAAAAAACATCAAATGATGAACCAAACATGAGAAAAAATTACATTTTTAGCGTAATATAATGTTGTCTGAGACTTTACCATAAAGATTTGTTATGGAGTTTGAGATTGTGACTGCTGTGGATACCCCTTTCCCACTTCCTGACATGTCTTCTCCCAACAACAGCTTCGAAAACTTCTCCTTCATCAATTCAAGCTCTGCAGGGTTTTCAGTACCATAAAAAAAACATTAAACACTTCAGACATAAAACACGATCAACGCCAAGTACCTTGTAGTCTGATGACATATTGTCTCATCCCAATCAGAATTGACATAATTGTTAAACATATACTATGAATAAGAACAAAAACCTTGTACAATGTACACTCACCTAAATCAAATGTCTCAGGATCATCATCATCATCTGCAACATTCTTGTGATGTCTCATTCCCAGCCTCGAAAGGGCAACACGAGCCGGGGATTTCAAGAAACCTCTCTCAAAGCTGCAATTCTCATCCGTCGAGGTCTCTGAATTCGTTCTGCAAAACACGAAAGAATCCCCAGTACTCCATGCTGTTTCTGTGGGTGATTGATCACTTTCATCTACAGAATAAGGTGAGGCCTGATATCCCAGACCATAACTCTCTTCAGAAGTGGACACCCTTTCCATTTACCCTTCCCTCTCTGCAAATTCTTGGCAAAATCTGCAGGGAAACAACCATGAAAATGCAAGTTTTCAACACAGCCACTTTCAAGAAAGGCTAAATCGCAGTTTTCAAAATCTGCAGCCCGGGAACAGACACTGAGCTAAACTGGAGAATCAGAGATAAAGGGGAAAGAACAAAAAACAAAAACAAGATTTTTCCCAACAAAAAAGTAAAAGAGGACTCTCATGCGTCACTGTTGTCTCTTTTACTTTGAACATCTGCAGCAAAGCAGTCTTCAACTCTTCAAGCATGAAGGGAACAAATAAACAGAATTTAAATGCTTCAACCCAACCGTTGCTATCCAAAAGCAACGGTATACAAAACCCAAAAAAAAAAAAAAAACGAATCTTTAATTTACCCTTTTAATATAGCAAGATTTGAATTGGAACACCGTTTGAAAAAAGATATCTCAGCTTCTGAACACTTTTTCCTGCAAAAAGAATGGCCTTTTCTTGATCATGAAGCTTACTGTGAAGTGTTTACTCTTTTCTTGGACGATAAAACATGAGATTATAAAACCTGGGATTAATTAGTTTGCTCCTCCAAGTGGTTGTTACCTAACGTTGTTGAAGACAAACACGAATCACGATTGGGATGACAAACATTTTTCACCAATTATGTAAAGAGTAATGATCGTGCTGTGCTTGGGTCAACGACTCAACCATAATAACAAGTTTATTTTTTAATGGGGCAGAAAAAACGTTTCCTTAAAAAAAAAAAAGAATTGCCTTACAGTTCTGAGTTGTATAAATTTATATATGGTAAATATATGAGTTAATTTTTAGATATGATTGAATAACGGGTGGGATATTATTACGGCAAATTATATCGATTCAAAACTACATCGTTTTTATAAGTTGAGGGAGTTAACGTGACGGACACCATTCAGTCGGTTTAATCTCGTTACAATTTTATTTTTTTGTGTTTATGTGTATTATGTTAAGAGTTTATATGTATTATTTTAGGAGTTTATGTTTATTCTATTATGTAATTCTATACATACAAAACATGGAATTTTTTAGGATACACAATGCATTGTGCACCCTAGTGCATGATATAACGATCCTATTATTACTTTGATCTTATTTTCAAAACCGTATTTACAAATTCTCGGTGTCCAATAAAAGTACTACAAATTTTGCCCACAACGTCTTCACATTGCAGGCCGATTGGATACTGGGATAATGGAATGATATATTACGGCTCCATATCAACTATAGTTGGATTAATGGCTATGTGCTCACACACCCCCTCCATCTCAACTATAGTTGGATTAATGGCTATGTGCTCGCATGTGCTCCATCTTAACTATAGTTGGATTAATGGCTATGTGCTCGCATGTGCTCCATCTCAACTATAGTTAGATTAATGGCTATGTGCTCACCCATGACATTTGGTCTGACTCTGATACCAAATTGAAGCATGTGCTCCATCTCAACTAAAAGCCTAAGCTTATAGTTGGATTGCACATTAATGGCTATGTGCTCACAGTGAGGATCTGTATTCGGTGCCCACCACATTGAGTGAAACTCTCATATTGGTGTTGCCAGGCTCGATCTTGTATCTTGTCCACATTCTACTACTCAGGAACCTTTTTGGTAGCGGTAGCCGGCAGCATATGCCAGATTAATTAGATAATAATTTTGAGATAAATCTTGAGATGTGTCTCAAGCGACTTTCATATACGCACATGCTTGTATACTAATTTTTACTCCTTTTTCTTTTGCAAGATTTGTATCTCAACCTTTCTATACGTGTTTAAATGCTTATACATTAATACGGTGTCATCATATTTTTATAAGTGCTAATAAAATAAAACTTATAAATTTATTTTAAGTTGATTAATGAGTGGATCGGACTATGTCCCAAGAATACATAGTATAGCCCTAGAGACATGAACCTAAGTGTTTGTCAATACATTATTAATTAATAATTAAATTGTCAAAGAGTATGTGATCTGACCCACCACAACCTAACCATAAATAAATAATTAAAAATAAAATAAATAAAAAAGCAAAAGGTGGTAAGACAAAATGGTGACTGATATGGGAGGGAAGTGAGCTCAAATTCCGGGAATCGCATAATCTTTTCCTTTTTATTTATTTATTTATTTATTTCCTGATTGAAAGGAGTAAAGGACCACAAAAAATGGGTTATTTTCGGTATAAAAGGAGATATATATATATATATATATATATATATATATATATATATATATATATATATATATATATATATATATATATATGATATCGTAACTTCGTAACTTAAAATATATAATAGAATTACATATTTATGGTTTTGAAATAAAAACGCATAATATTGCTCGACATAATGTTGTAATAATTTAAAAATAATAAGATTGTAATTTATTCATTTTCTTTTATGAAATTACGTTATAAAATTAAATCTTATGAGATATATATGGTAGTTTGGGTTGTCGGGCGTTGTAAGAAGAAGCATGTGAGTTGTGAACTAAGTATTAGGCAATAATATATAATTTTGCTTATCCTTCTTATTTTATTTTATTTTAGTTATAAATTCTTGTGTTGAATTTAATCACAACAGAATGTTTGGTAAATAGTTGTTAGTTGATTGAGTTAATGAGTTTGACTAGATAAGCTGATTTTAGAAAGATATTTGGTAAGTTGATTTTAGCTGATCGATAGCTGATTACATGCAAAATGATTTTTTTTTTTTTTTTTTTTTTAAAGATCGGGAGACATTACTTTGAGCAGCTTTTTAAATTTTAGTATTTTGGAGCAATAAGCTGTTACAAAAAACTAATTAATCAAACATTTATATTAATTGTTTAATCAAATCAAACAGCTAATAGTGATCAAATAAGTCAAAATTGACTAATAAATTAACTATGTTATGGACCAACCTCCATAATAAAATGGTCAAACAACGTAATACTTTAAAATAGTAAGAGGGGGATGAATCTTTCTAACGTGGGAACCATAATCTCTCTATGTACATTTATATGTATATTTTTTGTATAATGGAAACTTTATGGACTTATAATATAATGGTGCCTCATGTAAATTAAAATATTGTAATTAAAAAACTTAGCAACAAATTAAATGCACCAATTAACATTATATTTTGTATGAGTATGAATAATAGTGTAAGCAACCTCAATTGAGTTTGTCATGAAATTAACTTGATAATCACAAAGTTTTAAATGCGATTTTCTGTGGAAATTGTCTATTAGTCTTTGCGATTTGAGTCAGTTATAAAGATTTCATCTAGAGTGCACTTTCGAGTAGCGAGAATACTATTGAGCTGAATAATTTTGCCACCACTGCAGTTGGAAAAAACTAATCATTTTGCGATATACAAATTGCTTGATTCCACTTTCGTCTTGCACCAGGTCTGTCACCTTCGTTTCCATTATGCTCTGGGAAAAGGAAAAAAAGAAAATGTAAAATTAACATTTGTAATTATGAAATATAATGTCGCACATAAACATGTATATATTGTAATGGTATAATATAATTCAGCATTTGCATGAGTTCTATTGTCATTTAGTCCTAAACATATGTTTGAAACTTTAATTTTAGCATATATAAAATGGCATATAAGTGACGATTGTGTGGTACAAATATATGTAGGGTTCACTTCTGATTTGGGTCGAGTCAATGTGGATTTGTACTTTAACTTCATAATAAGGCGAAAAAATTGATATATTATACGTTAAAATGGATGAATAAAAAATTATATTGATTTTCAAAGTAACTCATTTGAGTTGGGAAGACTTTGAAAAAACACTTATCCATAGTTGAAAAATGAATTTGCACCACTATATATACCAGACCCTTTTTAGAATGAGTTTGAATTGTATAGTATAAAGTCTCTCACACGCGGTCCCTCAACAAATATATATGCAATATATATAATGATAAAAAGAAGGCAATAATGTTTTTATTACCTTTGAGGTGAATTGGAACCCAACATTTAAGTGCCCCTTATATCTGTCATCTTCAAGAACCAAATTGTAGGGCACTGGTTTCATCTCTACATATCCACTTTCATTCCCCTCCACAATTATCCCCTTCAAATATATTCTGAAATAATAATAATAATAAGCCTTTCTTATTAAAAAAAAATGTGCTATTAACTCTTTAATTTGTTTTTTTAAAAGGTAAAGTAAAAAAAAAAAAAATTATTTTATTTTATTTTATTTTATTTTATTTTTTACATTGTTTGGCCCACAAAAACATCTGTGAAAACCTCCTCATGCATGAGTTTTAACTTTAAGTAGTAATGTTTCTCCAAGGCTGTCTCTGGTAATTCTAATGTAAATTTCTCATTCCAGCAAATCTCTTTTGGTTTCCCTGCACTCATCATTTTTTTTTTCAAAAACATTATTAGGGTAATCTTAAAATTAAATGAATTGAAAAAAAAAAAACAATGAGAAAATATATAGAAATACACCTCTGGAGGTTTTGCTTCTATATATCTGAGATCCACATTCAACAATGACATAATAGTTTCTTTTCCCTGCAAATAATTTCAATGAAAAGAACTATAAAACATTTTTTTTATATTGTTAGAGACAAAAATAGGACAGTTGATAAGTTGGTTGATAGGGCTACTGAACATAATAGAGGAGTAAGGTGAATTTAAAAGGTCGGGTGATCGAGTAAATTGGATATGATTCTTATACTAAAAGATCGCGAGTTTGATTTTTGCCCAGAATCTATGGATGACATGATATTTTTTATTCAAATAAGAAAAAAAAAAGAGTTGACTTGTGAAAAGAACATATAGGATTACCAATTTTGTAGCCAATGCCTTGAGCATTAGCGAGGATTACTTCTAGGACACCACCCTTCATGTCATGTCATTAAGGAAAAAAACATTGATTCATTAACACTTCCAAAGGCTTTTAGCTAGGTAGCATGCATGTAATAATGATGTGAATTTGTATGAACATTTGTGAAACATATATACACATGGATGGTAAGCCATTAATAATGAAAACCTACACATAATGAAGCGTTACTATTTGTAATAAATCTCATTCTCAATGTATCTTCAAACCGAACGTAACATTGCATGTAGTCAAAAATTATAAATTCTTTTTTGATAATAATAATAAACATTTCAAGAAAGTTTATATTTGATTCTTAATTATTGTTCCATAGATGGAAGGTATCGGTGTACAAACACTAACTAATTAATGTATTGACAAGTTGGTCAACCTAATTAAGACGCAACCATATGTCCCGGTCTCACCCCACTTCAAATTACCTTTGTCAAATCGTATGAGAGAATGCTAATGATTTAAAGATGACTAGAAGTTAGTTCTTTGTCAAATTCAATGCAAATGGATCCGTAATGATTAATATGTTCCTGTACCTCGATGGAGGTCCCGCAATTTGGGAGGAGCTAGGTGGGGTGGGATGTGCTGACAAGTTGGAAATACATATTCATTTTTAGTATATCATATAATCATATGTTCATTTAACTTATAATATACAAAAAAGAAATATATATTAAAATATAATAAAGTTATGATATATTAAAAATGAGCATATATTAGAATTCACCTCTGCTGTACAATATAATTTGTTGGATTTTACATCATAATAGCTAGTCATTTTTGTAATCATTATGGTCCACACAACTGTATAGTCTATACTATCAAATAATGTATATTCAGTACAAAAATAATGTACTTTTAGTATATTAAAAATATATATTATATTCAGAAAAATTACATCGTTTGAGTACTGAAAGTATATTATTTATATAATGTACATTCAGTATGCAGTGTTGTGTTGCCGTCGTTTTGGGGATGCATATTATATCAGCAATTATACTGTGGACCACAGTTCACAAAGCTTTGTGGACTACGGTCCAAAACGACAGACACTATAGTGTATCTAAACTGACACTGTCTCACGTATTATTTTTATTATATTATCAAATAAAACTGCAATTGAATTGAAATGAAACTGCAGTTGTGTTGAACTGAAACTGCAGTGTATACAAAATGAAACTGAATAACAACTTCACATATTTGAGTGTATATTGTCCAGCGAAATAGTAATTATATCAAAATGATACTGTAATTGTGTTGAAATGAACCTGTAGTGTATATTTGATGCCTGGACCGGTCCACGGTATAATTTGTCATATTATATGGGCCTTAAGGAAATAGTTGGGCCATAGCGGAGTAATTGGAGCCGGAAACAAGGTTATGGAGGCCCAATTGTATATCTCGTGTCTAACACGAAAGGAGATATCTACTCATAACTTTTTTTTTTTTTTTTGAAAACATATCTACTCATAACTTATTAACTGTAAAACACCAAAAAGCGGATGCTATGTCGTTAAGCCCGCGCTAAAGTTAGTTTGCAACTGTAAAATCGATCCTCGGATCCCTCAACTCGCCTTTTTCGGGTTCTCTTGACCCGCCATCTGCTCTCACTATACGGATTCTATGCAAAAATACGTATATAACGCACGAATGTACGTACACCGCTGAGAATTGAGATGAAATGGCGATCGTAGCTCCGTCGGTAGAGTTGTTCCAGAGCTTGAAGCCGACGACCACGGCTTGCTTGGCCGCGCCTCGGCGGTTTCCGTCATTTCCGCCTTCTTCCGAGCTCGCCGTGAAGTCCTCCTACTGCTCGCGGAGATGGAGGGGCGTTTTCGTGGATTCGAGTGCCGGAACTTGGGCTCGGACTGGGAGTTGGCCTGCAGCTGTGGTCAGGGATAGAGGAGAGAGAATTGAGGTCCATTCTTTCTGGGGTGGTGGGGGTGGTAATAATTCGGTTGGCGAGGAGGTAATCGTGTTCTATTTATTATGATTTTCATGTCTTATCAAGAGTGCTCTTTCATTTTTTGCTTTTTTTTTGTTTTGTTTTTTGTTTTGAGTATCGCTGAATTTGTTGTTGTTTTGTTTTCCTGAATTGTCAGAATACTAATCAGTGTAGTCAGCATAGTTAGCTGTATGGTGAGATTCTAATGCATATATTAACAGTACATGGTGTAATATCACAAACGTAAGGCAAAATTGTCTTATGCAGTAATCTTCTGCGAATGAAAGCTGTATTGTTTCTCATGTTCACAGGGCTTAAACTTTCTCAGAAATCTTTTAGGTCTTTGCTAATATGGCCAGAAAAATAAGAGATAAAAAGGCCTTATGGAAAATAGGAAGTTGGCCTACGTTACTATTACTTTATTTCTGTAAAAAAAATGCTGCTACAGCTCAGTAGATTAGGCTTGCATGATATAGCCATTTATAGCTCTATGATAAATATCCAAACAGTTTCTAACATTTACCAGCTAGCCTATCTCTGAATCTTTTCACTTGACATAGCATCATGTTTTCTTCCAAAATTTTGAATCTTCCATCAAAATGAGGTATAGATTCTTGGGTTGATTTTTCGGAGGCTTCAAGCTGTATGCTTTGGAGCTTTTACAGCTTCTTCTTGGTACATTAAGTACCTTATTTACCCAAACACTAACATTGCAGAAGTTTGATCTCTTCTGATGCTTTTATGATTCACTTTACTTTTTTAAAAAGCTATGTAACTTCTTTGGGAGATATTTCCTATGCAGATTTAAACCAGTAGTAGATTTTCCTACTAATAGGGTGCTAATGCTTCACCAAAGGTGCAGGAGCGAGACTTTACTGGCACCCCCTATGTTCCTGTGTATGTCATGCTACCTGTGAGTGGTATTTCGTTCTTTTCCACACAACCTTCTATTGCCACCTTATTGATATATTCCCACTGGTGAGAGAAGCATATATACTTCTAACTAGTCAAACATATTGCTTCTGTTGGGACAGTTGGGTGTCATTGACATGCAATGCAGGCTTGTGGACCCTGACACTCTGATGGAGCACCTGCGGATATTGAAATCAATAAACATTGACGGTGTTATGGTGGACTGCTGGTGGGGTATAGTAGAGGCACATGCTCCACAACAATATAATTGGAGTGGTTATAGGAGACTTTTTCAAATTGTCCGTGATCTGAAGCTTAAACTACAGGCAAGTAGCATATGACAAGTAAAATTCTTAGCATGATTTTTGTGTTTGTTTAGGTTTATTTATTTTTCTTATGGTTCTTATCAATTTCTAGCAACACAATTTTGAATTAATTCCATTTCTATCCATTAATTTATTTTGGAGATATACTTGCAGGTGGTCATGTCATTTCATGAATGCGGTGGGAATGTAGGTGATGACGTCCACATTCCCCTTCCAGAGTGGGTCATAGAGATTGGCCATAGAAATCCTGACATATATTTCACAGATAGAGAGGGAAGAAGAAATCATGAATGCCTCACTTGGGGAATTGACAAGGAGCGAGTTCTAAGAGGCCGAACTGCTGTTGAGGTACTAAATATTCAGATTTGTTTTTAAACGTTTCAAATGTACAGCAAGTGGGTGCTTTTGTTAGTCCTTTTATTACTAATGCCAAATTTTTAATTTGATTTTGTCATTATGCAGAGAACTACCATACAATAGAGTAAATTTCATTTGTCATCCTGGATGTTTAAACTAAGTTTCAAATTTATCCTGTGTTTTAATATTTGCAATTTGGAACTAAAGTATGACATTGGTTTCAATTAGTTCCTAATGTCATTCCTAACCAAATTATCTACAAATAGATAAGGACAACTTTGGTATTTAAAAAATATATTAATTCTTTAGTGTTTTTTTCACCATCCTTTTGTTCTTTTTCTATGTTATTTCTCTCTACCTTCTTCTAATTCTTTACAAATTATCAAATATAAATATCAAATTTATTAAATTTGTTTGATAATGTGTAATCTTTTTATTGACTTCAAAACAAATTCTAAAAAAATGTAGGTTTATTTTGACTTCATGAGAAGCTTCCGTGTAGAGTTTGATGAGTTCTTTGTGGATCGAGTCATCTCTGAAATTGAAGTTGGACTGGGGCCATGTGGGGAGTTGAGATATCCTTCTTACCCAGTCAAACACGGTTGGAGATATCCTGGCATTGGTGAATTTCAGGTAAGTTGTGACCACAAATTGGACCTCTTATAATCTCTGAGTTCAATTCAGATTGTCCAACCTATTTTGCTATTTATATGTAATATTGTTACACTTCTCACCTTCTTGTGCTCTAATTTTTTTCCCTACTCCATACAGTGCTATGATAAGTACTTGATGAAGAATATGAGAAGAGCTGCAGAGGTAAGGGGTCACTCATTTTGGGGTAGGGGTCCTGATAATGCAGGTTCCTATAACTCCTGCCCCCACGAAACTGGGTTCTTTCGTGATGGAGGTGACTATGATAGCTACTATGGCAGATTTTTTCTAAAATGGTATAGTCAAGTTTTGGTTGATCATGGGGATCGAATACTTTCCCTGGCAAATTTTGCCTTCGAAGGCACTTCAATTGCTGCAAAGGTAACTATAGTTAGAAGATATTTTTTTTTTTTTTAAGAAAAGAAAAACAAGATTATGGTGAAACTTCTGTTTCAACTGATTGAAAACTAGTTTGGCTGAATCATGATTGGTGAGCAGCTATCAGGTATTCATTGGTGGTACAAGACAGCTAGCCATGCAGCTGAGTTGACTGCTGGGTTTTACAACCCATGCAATTGTGATGGGTATGCTCCAATTGTATCAATGTTAAAGAAGCATGAAACTGCTCTGAACTTCACATGTGCTGAGTTGCGCACAGTTCACCAGAATGAGGGCTTTCCAGAAGCAATGGCTGATCCTGAGGGGTTAGTTTGGCAGGTAACTGCTGAAATCATACATTATTTACTCACAGAATTTGTCATTTGTGGTTTTACTTTGGCTGTCCGGCTGTCCCATAGTTGGTTAAGGTACCTTATCATATTTGCATCGATTTATCATATCCAAGTTCCTCCATTTCTCCTGATGATGCATATTGTTTCTCCTTTTTCCTGTTTGAGGTTGAACCATGATGTTTCCATGGCAATGACTCTAATTCCAATAGTTAGAATGGAACTAAAAGCGCACCTTGCTAGCTATCAGTATTACTCATAGTTATTAAATTTATGGATCATGTGTTTAAGCATTTTTACCTATTTCAGGTGTTAAACGCTGCATGGGATGTAAACATACCAGTTGCCAGTGAGAACGCACTTCCTTCATATGATAAAGCAGGTTATAAAAAGATTCTGGAAAATGCCAAGCCCTGGAATGATCCAGATGGAAGACATTTGTCCGCTTTTACGTACCTCAGGCTAAACCCAATTCTCATAGAGTATCATAACTTCCTCGAGTTTGAGCGATTTTTAAAGAGAATGCATGGTAAAACACTTTCTTCCATGACTTCAATATATATGCTTTTCCGTACACAAATTTGACCCTTCCATAATGTAGTAAGGAGCTGAGATTGATCATTGTTGTGATGCAGGGGAACCCTTTTCCAATTAGAAATTGTATCTGAAATTTAAGAGAGGCTATGAAAACTGAACTATTCGTATCAGAAGATTAATAAAACAAGAATGAGATCGTGCCAGGTTAGCTCCAGTCCCTAGTGACAGATGAGTAGGTGTTTGGAAGAACTTTAACCTGAAGTGAAAGATGTGCACAAGCCGAGAATTCAGCTAAAAAGGAAGTGAAGCATCCATTACCCTTTTGCTTGGTTATATATCCTAACTTTCAAGAGTACAGAAACTATTAAAACAAATACATGATTCTTTTGTTGTTGTGTTTGGCTATGGCTCAGACACTCTGCAATTGAAAGGTACACTTTGTATGATAATATATCTACAACTTTGTACTTGTGCAGCAAAAGCTGCATTCTAAATGCCATTTTCATTCTGTTATATTTTATTTGCCACTAAGATTATCCAAATATGTGTTTGCTTTATGTCTTTTGACACAAAATAGCACCTTGGGGTACATCTTCTGCTAACGGTTGATTTAATAGGTGTCACGCGATCTAGATTTTTATAATGTTTCTTATGTTTTTGTTATCATTTCATTTTCTTCTCTAGTATCCAGTAAAAGTATACATCCGTTTGATGTCTTTTAGCACAAAAAATCAATCTAGATAGCATTTTAATGAACGGTACCACTTGCATCAACAAACATCATTTTTTTTTCTTAAGGAGAAATTAACTATAGTATTTGTTCTTGGAATTTCCATAAGAGAATTGTTACTCTTTTAAATGATGAGGTTTCGTTAATGTTCGTATCACAACCAAGGTTGAAAAAACCGCTAGGTACTTGGGGACCGCTTAGGCGCGATTTTTGCAACACTGATCACAATCATTGAATTAGAGAGATATAATTTGAACAAATATTAATACTTTATTACTTACGTATGTAAATGTTTATTATTATTCTTGATTATTATATAATGTTGTAAAATTTATCAAAAACCTAAAATCGTAAATTTGGTCATTTTAAGGACACAAGTTTGTTATGAAGTTGAATTGTGAAATCACATTTCTTGAGTGTCCCTAAATTAGGGAAACATACCAAATTTGCTATTAAATTTCATCCCATTTCTGTGATCCTCTTTAGCTGCCACGTGCAAAACGTGTGAGTCGCACGCCCGACGATAAGTCGCGAGTCTCAAAGCGCCTCTCATCCGTGCCAGGCATATCTACGCACGCTTGAGTTCTCCCACACGCGTGAAAAGTGAAAACCATATCCCTTCCACATCCTCGCCGTGCACCGCCGCTGCACCGCCGGTCTTCGCCGGAAACCTCCAAGGACCTGCAAAAGAACCCGCCCCTTTCACTTGCTCTTGACGGAGCTCTGCCGGTGCTTTTTCTTCTTCTCTTTCCAGGTCAATTGCCGGAATATTTCCCCTTCACTACCCTTTGGATCTGGCTTGTTGAATTGAGACGCCGTGAACGATTTCAATCTATGCATGCTAAGGTGATAAGGGAAAAAAGTTTGTGGTTTTGGATAAAGCTGAAATCTTAATGATTATTCAAAAAGAAAAGACTTTTGGTGCTCTTTTTTATTTTTATTTGTATTTCTTTACAACTTTGACAGGAAACTCAATGTCTCATGTGAAAAACATAGTAGTTTCTGTGGAAATTTAGACTCAAATTATAATCATAGTAACTAGTTAACTACTATGATTCTTTTTGAATAGTTTTAGCTCTTCTTCTAATTTGTACTGGAAAAGATTGATAATTGTGCATGAGTGAATGAAGATGGATATTAGTAGTAGCAGTTCATTTTTTTCTCTTGATAGTAGTTGAGACTTGGCTCTAATTTATTGGTACAATTTGGATTACTTTCTCGGTTTCAGAGAGCATTGCTGCATGAGGTCCAACCTTGATAGAAAGTTATTCTTAAAAGTGCATAACTGCTTTGATGGAGTTAGTACTGTTATTTGATTTTCTATTTATTTATTGTAATTAAGGAAATTAGCACTTGTGGTTCAGCCATGTATCTGGAGTCTGTCTCGAGATTTGCCAACTATGCATGATGCTGGGAGATTTGAGCGTGACTTAAATAGTTTATCAAGATTATATTGACATGTGCATGTGACTCTTTGGGGAGGGAGGGAGACATAACTGGAGGGAGAATATGGCTGCAGAGATGCATAGATATATCACCAATGAAGAAGATGAAGAAATGGGGATGGATGTGAAAGAGGAAGATGATGAGGATGAAGAAGAAGAAGAGGAAGAAAAGAGCTTATCTGCTCCAGCAACTGTAGGCATTGATGGGGGGGTTGCATCTAACAACAGCAGCCATAGGTTCTTGCATCATCAGCAATTTCAGGAGCAGCCAATCCCACAAGGAGGACCTCGTAGGTCTAGGCCATTAGAAGAGAAGGAAAGAACAAAGCTAAGGGAGAGACATCGAAGGGCAATTACCGCAAAGATCTTGGCTGGCCTTCGAAAGTATGGTAACTATAATCTTAGAGCCAGGGCCGATATCAATGAGGTCATTTCCGCTGTGGCAAGGGAAGCAGGTTTTGTTGTTCTTGCAGATGGAACAACCTTTCCATCCGGGTCACATCCACAGGTATCTGGATAAACACAGTGAAATGTTTAGAAAACTTGGCTTAACTTGACTTGCCCCTTTGAAAATGTTAACGTACATGCATGGATATGCATCATTAAAGCTCCTTACCATAATTATTTGCTATCTCTATAGGAAATAAATCAATTCTAATAGTAAGGATAATAAATCAATTCTAATAATAAAGATATTTCCTTAATCATATCAAATTTTCTCATCATCTACAGGCCACAAGAGCTACTGGCCCATCTATCCCAGTTGTGACTTCTCCATCTTCATATATTCAAGCACAAAATTCTCAACCTGCATCCTTGAGAGCCATTTCTTCTGGTTGTCAAGACACAGTTGGTTATAGTGCAGTCCAATTGAAAAGTGTTTTTATGTCCACTTCATCTTCTTGTGATGCACCCCCGAGTGCTTCATCTCAGATATCGTCTATGGTGGCTGATGGAGCAGGCACACAGAATGATTCGTTTCTTGGAGGGTCCTTGGACTCAAACGAGCAGGTGAAAGGGTGCCCACTTAAATGCTACAGATTGTGCAATTTTATTGCAACCTAGATGAATCTATCCTGATACTTTTTTTCTTCTAGCTTATACTTACAGAACAGTTTTATCAGGTTGTTGACGAACCCACAAGGTTACAGGAGCTTGGTTTTGCTGACACACCTTATGTTCCTGTTTATGTTATGCTACCTGTGAGTTTTTAAATTTATTATTTCCTTCCCTTTTTTTTTTAATTGTGGGCAATAATATCTCTTTAATTTTCTAACCTCTTGTATATCAGGAATTTGTTTTATTTTTAATTTATTTTCTTCTTTAAAGTTGGCTTTGCTGTTAGGTTACACCTCTATTCAATATATTAGAGATTGTGTCGTTCCAAGTATTAAAATCTAAATGCATCTTCTTTATCAGCTGGGCATCATCAACATAAAGTCTGAGCTTGTTGATCCAGATAGTGTAGTGAAGCAACTAAGAATACTGAAATCAATCAATGTTGATGGGGTTATGGTTGATTGCTGGTGGGGTATAGTAGAAGCTCATGGACCAAAGGAGTACAATTGGGATGGATATAAGAGATTGTTTCAAATTGTGCGTGAACTCGAGCTCAAAATTCAGGTGACGTTTATTTTTGTAATATATGTTCATTCTATTTCTTGGCTTTATTTTTTTTTTTTTTCTTTTGGGATGGGTTGCTCAGCCAAAGCTCTTATGGCTTCTAAAGAGAAGTTCTGCAATTAGAACCTCATTCTGAGGTTCCAGTAGAACCTCATTTTGAGGTTCTAATTACAGAACTTCAAAATGAGGTTATAATTTCACAGTATTTGACATTTTATGGATTTAATCTACAAATCAACAAGTATCTAGTGTACAAAAGAGGCCAATAAACAAGAAACACCAATCAATTAGGTTTAGATAACTACTCATCTACAATTTTCATTAATTTTTCAACTAATATTCACACAAATCAGGCATACAAATCAATGAGGTTCTACCGTTCTACTGGAACCTCAAAATGAGGTTCTGCAATTAGAACCTCAAATGAGGTTCTACTGGAACCTCAGAATCAGGTTCTAATTGCAGAACCTCAAAATGAGGTTATAATTTCACAGTATTTGACATTTTATGGCTGTAATCTACAAATCAACAAGTATCTAATGTACAAAAGAGGCCGATGAACCAGAAACACCAATCAATTATCCATAACAAAAGAGAAATGAGATAACATTCATCAAAATAAATAAAAATAGGCTTAGATAATTACATACCCTAGATTTGAACCACTGACCTCCTTTTTTTTTTTGGAATGAAAGGGAAGGGGGGGGACCCCAAAACTGACACTACTGACCTCCTTTATGTGTACTGTTCACCCGCTATTTCCATCTCTTCATTTGGAGAAAATTCTCCATTTTTCCACTTTGGTAAATAACCCCTAATTAGTTGAGATATTCAGAATGGTTGGTGGGATTATATACCAATTCTAGATTCGATGAAAATTTCCAATAATATCAAATACTGTGACATGAATTTCAATCACTGTTGTAAAACTCGGCCTAGGCAGCTGCCTAGGTGCTAGGTACCCATAGGCTGAGATGAAATAGGTGCTAGTTGCCAACTTATTCTATTGGCCGACTAATCGGCCAAGTTGGTGACTTGGCCAAATCATTTTTTTATAGGTTTGTTTTGCTCAAAAGTCAAAACGATGTCGTTTTGAGGGAAACAAATCTAAAATGGAATGGGCAACATCAGTGTTGCATAGCAGCAAACCTAAAATTGGATCACACAACATCGCCAAAGAGAAAATCAAAAACCTCAAACCTGCTACCTGATGCCATCACCGACCAGCTCCCAAATTTTAATTTTTAAATACCTAACTATTTAATTATTTAACATTTTTTTTACTAAGGCACCTAGGCACCCATAGGTCGGTGGATGGGCACCTAGTGAGTTCTACAACACTGATTTCAATAAATTATTCTCTCTAAAAACCATTTGCCTCTATAAGTCAATGCCAAAGCAATAAAATTTGTTCTATTGCCTGTGTTTTTCTTCATAATTGTGCACTGAAGTTGTATGAGTTTGACTGCAATTAGGTGGTGATGTCTTTTCATGAATGTGGAGGTAACACTGGTGATGATGTATGCATCCCACTGCCTCACTGGGTAGCTGAAATTGGTCGAAGCAATCCTGATATATATTTTACAGATAGAGCAGGAAGGCGCAACCCTGAATGTCTCTCGTGGGGTGTTGACAAGGAAAGGATTTTCAAAGGCCGGACTGCTTTAGAGGTACTTTGTTTTACTTTGTTCAAATTACACTTATATGTTACTGTTACAACTTACAAGGGCAGATTTTCTTGTGCTTCTGAGTGTTAAGAAAATATAAAATAAAATAAAACCTGGGTAACGAGAGGGTGGAGGGAGGGGAGCTTCTATGGACCGGAAATATTTAGTTTTAAAAAAATAATGCATAGTTGCAGAGCATTTTGTGTCTTTATTAGTAAACCTTGTGGAAACCTTGTATACTATGTTGAGGTTTCTGTGTTTAAATTTTTAGGTTTACTATGATTACATGAGAAGCTTCCGAGTTGAATTTGATGAGTTCTTTAAAGATGATGTTATCTCTATGATTGAAGTTGGATTAGGTCCATGTGGGGAACTAAGATACCCATCTAATCCTGTAAAGCATGGTTGGAGATACCCAGGTGTTGGGGAATTTCAGGTAACTATGCATTGAATATAAGCTTGAATATTGAGTATCTTTGCTGTTTGGACAAAAGGTTTTCTTCTTTTTTGTAGATAATAACAGGCTGGCAATTATTTTTCATATTCTGTTTCTGAGGAGTCCCATTTTCATCTATCTGATGTGCTTCCCCTCTGCAGTGCTACGATCAGTATTTGTTAAAAAGCTTGCACAGGGCAGCTGAAGAAAGAGGGTTCTTATTTTGGGCACGAGGACCTGATAATGCAGGTTCCTATAATTCCAGGCCAGATGAAACTGGTTTCTTCTGTGATGGTGGTGACTATGATGGATATTATGGTAGATTTTTCCTCAAGTGGTACTGCCAGATTTTGGTTGACCATGTTGATAGGGTGCTTTATCTGGCTAATTTAATTTTTGAAGGAACATGCATTGCTGCGAAGGTTAGACATTAGTGCTTTCTGTCCTTTTCTCAGATAAAATAGACTTTGTGGCTTTAACAATCTATTAATTCTAAACTCTTCTTCTCTTTTTTTTTTTTTTTTTTTTTTTTTTTTTTTTTTTTTTTTTTTTTTTTGGTTTTCCAGTTACATTAGCTTGACTTGAACTAATTTCTTTGCCATTTAAAAAAAAAAAATCATGAGCAGCTATCAGGTATTCATTGGTGGTACAAGACAGTCAGCCATGCCGCTGAATTAACTGCTGGATATTATAATTCGAACACTCGGGATGGATATGCTGCCATTTTGGCGCAGTTGAAGAAACATGAAGCTACATTGAAGTTCACATGTAGTGAGATGAGCACATTAAACCAGCACGAGGAGGCAATTGGAGATGAGGGAGATCCTAAAAGCTTAGCTTGGCAAGTAAGCATATAGATCACTAGTATATTGAGTTTCAAGCTCTGCAAGCGACATATTTCATCAGAAACTTGTTTGCTATATGTGTAAGCAAATCTTGAGGTTATGTATAACAAAAAAAATATTAACACACTGATTTTGGGATGATGTTACAGATGCTAATTACTGCTAGGGATGCATGTTTACCAGTTTGCGGTGGGAATTTGCTTCCCTGCCATGACAGGGAATCCTATAACTATTTACTGGAACAATCCAAGCCCAAAGATGATCCAGATGGGCATCACTTCTTTTCTTTTACCTATCTTAGGCTCAGTCCTGTTCTCTTGGACGCCCAAAATTTCATGGAATTTGAGCGATTTGTGAAGCAAATGCATGGTATGGCACATTTAAAATCCCCCTTATGTTACTTGTTGCTGTTACATCTAAAGTCCCTTACTTGCATAATGTTTGAGATGACTGGTAATGAGGCTAGAGTTGTTTGTGCCCTCTACTATGACCCAAAACAACACTGAGAGCCATCCCCAATTCCCCTAGAAATGGAAAAATTTTGAAGTGAGGGGGACCAAGTAGAAATTAAAGAAGACTTGTAAACATAAATACCCTGTTTAACCAGCTTGGTTGGCGTGGGTGGCCGTGCACTCTCATCCCTTAAGAGAGGCCGGGAGTTCAAATCCCCTCTTGTATGAAAAACCAATCTGGCTAGCACTTTGCCCCTTAATTGGGCCAGCTCGGTGCGAATGGAGATTAGTCTGAGTATGGTACGGGCTTAAAGGTGTCTCCTACAGTTAGGGCCTGCTCAGGACACCTCATGGCCTGACCAAAAAATAAATACCTTGTTTAAGATTTGAGTAAATAAGTTAAAATCATTTCATCATTGTGTTTCCTTCTCAGAAATTCTCCGTAATAGATCTGTAAAGATACCATTTTCTTTGTTTGCTTGGAAAGAGTGATTAATCATATAGCATATAAGCAGTAAACACAAGTACTTATGTAATATAGAACGTATATATATATATATATATATATATATATATATATATATATATATAACAGCATGAATCGATCCTTCTGCTGAACTCCAGCTTTCTTAAGTAACACGGTTTTGTTTCTATTTCAGGCGAGGTAGTTCTTGATGATATATAGGCATAGCTTGAGGAACACAAGCACATAGCGCATATCCCCTCCGTTCTGTCCTGCAAGAAAATGGGGTTTGGGTGTAGAATGGAGTTATATACTGTAGTACAAATATTGATACAAGTAAAGGAATGGATGATACTTCCCAATTTCCATATCTAGGCTTTTAGAAGCATAGGTATTATTTGTGTATCCTTGTAGTGGCATATCTTACTCCAACTATAACATGAGTCCTTCATTGTTTGGAGTTTACCCCAATGCTAAACTGTAAAGAGTTATTTAGAGGTGGGACTAGCAGTATTTTACAGAATGAGGTGCAGGCTTATGGTGAAATGTAAAGGTGGAAATTTCCTTGTTCCCTGTCCTCTTTTAGTGTAATGGAAAGTTCCATTAATTATATGGTCTCTTATTGCTCATAATTTGACCCCACAAGACACTATTTGGTCTCTTATTGTGATGAGTTTGTCACAATTGTATGATATTTCAGGTGTTTGTGAATGGGTGCAAAGTGTTCATAAATGACACACTAGTTTACAAGACTTGAGACTAGTGAAACACATCTCGTGATTTATTCTTCTGGGCAGGTAAAAATTCTCGGGTTTGGTGTGCAAACTATGTACTCCGTATAATTTAGTTTGTGTCTATGAACAGGTGGATATGTTTACAAGAATATCACATAATATGTTTTGCTAATAGCTACAGTACGAATTCTACCGATGTATAGATTTGTATTGTTTGTCCTATTGTGAATATCAATGTACAAACACTTTAGAGGATCTGAGATTGTGGCGGTATATTTTGCGATTACTCCTCTATCGAGGTTCTACGGTAAGGACAGGTAGAGGCCCTCGTAGTTGGGGTGCAACAACACAAGATCATCTTTTCCTTTGGTTTTGACAACTAAAATGAAGGTCTACAAGAGTATCACAAAATAAGAGACTATCAAGAACTAGGGATGTAAACGAGCCTAGCCGAGTTCGAGCTCGAGCTCGATCGAGCTAGAAAATTGAAGCTCGAGTTCAGCTCAGCTATGAAACGAGCCGGTTCGATATGAGCTTTGACCAAGCAGCTCGACGAACCACGAGCTTAAAACATTTGAGCTCAAACTCGGCTCGATTATGAAACGAGTCGGGTCGAGTTAAGCTCGAACTCAAAGTTAACCGAGCTCGGGTCGAGTTTTGATCGAGCAGCTCGCGAGCTCGGCTCATTTACCCACCTACCAAGAACAATGAGAAATCTCTGCTGTCACCATACTATTAGCTTATCATCAAATTATTCTTAACAAATAAATGAAACATTCATCAAAGATTGGGTCCATGAACAGGCCACAAACATTACAAATGCTTTTGAACCAATCAATCCTAAGAATAGTGTTTCCCATTTGACACTAACCTACTCTACCACACAAATGAATCTATAATTCTATAAATGGGGGAAAAGAATAATGAATCTTTTGATTGGCTACACTAGTTTAATGTGTGGTCATGGCTCTCACTTCAGCACCTTTTCCCTGGACTCATCTGTGGGAAGAAGCTTCCCAGCTAAATCATCCCAGCTTTCCTTTCTAGTTTTAGACAATGTGAAAGAAAACCGTCGAGATTTTCCAGAATTCTCGCCTTGCTCTAATTCACGAAATGTCCCATAGGAAGAAGGAGCGTATGCTTGGGGTACATCCAGTGCAACTGCCCTCTGCAATGCAGCCCGGTGCTCCTGCATATGCTCTTTTGCAAGACAAGCCTTCCGAACCATCCTTTGCTGAGCGGGGATATCCATGCTTTGATCTCTTTCCAGCATTGACTGTATAGAGCAGAGGAAACTCAAACGCAAACTAAAAAGCAGAAAACAGCATTCATGGAATTGTAATGCTAAAAGAATCCGAATTGGCTTACATCGAGTGTCCTTTGAGACTCGGTCAGTATCTGAATGATGGAATGATCCCTAGTCATGTCCCGAGAAAGAACAATGTGTTCAAACCGCCCATCCACAGGTATGGCTGTTCTTACAATCGGCAATATTTTTGGCTTTTTTGCAGAGCTGCAGCAAGGAAGAGAAGCGGGAGTGGGGAGTGCAAATGCAATCGTTAAACTTCTAAACATGTTAACCAGCTTGGTTGGCGTGATTGGCCGAGCACTCTCGTCCCTTAAGAGAGGTCGGGAGTTCGAACCCCCCTTGTATGGAAAAATCAATCTGGCCAGCACTTTGTCCCTAATTGGGTCGGGCCGATATGAACAAGGATTAGTCTGAGTATGGTACGAGCTTAAAGGTGCCTCCTACAGTTAGGGCCTGCTCAGAACACCTCGTGGTCTGACCAAAAAAAAAAAAAAAAACTTCTAAAAAATTCTGACAGCAATAGGATCTACAAACCTGAAGGGCTTTCTCACGATAATGTGATAAAGACGACCAGGTGCATAGAGACGCCTTGGATCTTTAAGCATCTTCTCCTCCATTGTGCATGTATCTTTCAAGCAATTTATGCAGAGCAAGCATGGGAAGCTATAGAAATCAATGGATATGAGCCAGTGAGAGTACGAAGGTCGAGAATATTGCAGGTATTAGCCAAGAAATATTATCATTATTAGCAAGAATTTCTGGAATAGACACAGTGCTAAATCTAAAGTTATGCAGATGATGAAACGTTCATTCTTCAGAATACTGAGAATAGCGTGTCTTCTCTCAATTAGCAACTTTTATGGGCAAAAACGACATGAACTCATCTGCTTTGGCTTTAAAGTTCTGTTATAATCAAATGCAACTTCAAAATAATACCGAAAGGAGACAAGACCTGCAATCTTTTACCAGAAAAGTGAATTGAAAGCATTTCCCAGTGCAACAGTAGTCCGAGGTAAGAAATCATCCTATGATTGATTTATGGAAAACAATGTGTTAGAGTTTGATCATGAACCCTGAACCAAGTAAGGAGAAATGCGAGAGAAATTCAAGGCAACACGAGAACAAAATAACCCCTTCAATGTAAAAAACATCCAATCACAAGGAGCTGATCATATGAGAAAAGTAAATCTGATAACATAAAAATGTCGAGATATCCACATTACCTGTAGTACAACAGAGTTGATGATATCTGCATATCTCACTGCCAAATTTAGAGATACACACCTTGCAGGAGCAATTGCGAAGCATCTGATCCGTTTCCTCTCCAAGTTGCCAAGTTTTTCTCGGTTCTCAACAACCAACATTGTCAGCAACGCCACAACACCAGCCCCTAAAGAGTGCCCGGCTAAAGTCAATGTGTAGTTAGGATATCTCACCACCAATTCTCTCAAAACAATCGCTTCTGCTTCCATTACCCACTGTGCTGCCTTTAACAGCCCGTTATGAACATACCCCCCATCAAATTCACCTTGCCCAAGCTTGTCATCAAGCAAGACAAAATAATCACTCTCCTTGGCCAAATTAAGACCTCTAATAGCCACAACTATTTCACCGTTCTGATGATCAACGTAGACCATATAAGGCGTCACTCTCCCTCGAGTATCCTCGTGATTCCTCTTCACAATCACCCAATCTGGATCAACACCATATCCTCCAGGAGGAGCCCAGATTGGGTTCCTGATATCATCCTCATATACAGATAGAATATATCTACAAAACCGAGGCACGGGCTCAAACTCATTAGCAGCTGCAAGCCCCCAGTTCTCACTTTCCCTCCCAGCAGTATACCTGAACTTCTTCCACACCCAACGTGCACAGGCCAAACAGTATACACACTCAAGAATTGGCAGACAGCTAGCCAATGACATTGGTGCCCCTAACTGCCTACCAAGCTATCATCTTCAACCTCCCCAAGAATCACACCCAATAAAGGGAAATCATTACAAATACCTATCTATATATATGGTTCTCAAACTTTACAGTTATCCCCAAGAATCACAGCCAATAAAGGGAAATCATTACAATTCACAAATACCTATCTATATCTATGCTTCTGAAAGTTCACAACGCAAAAACCAAGAAATGGCAAGAATTTCAATGGGTATTTTAATAGCTTTGAACTGGAAAAAGGGAAGAAATTTTTTTTTAAGTAAATTCAGCTCAAGAAACCTGATCAGAGAAGCCGGAGGTCTATGCCCTTAAATCAAAATTGGGGAAATGGTATAGTCATCACCCAACAGGAAATCCCAGAAGAAAACACCAGAAATGCAGTTTCCCGTGGAGGGCGGAGAAGCCAAAAGGGACAATTTTTAAGAACTTTCTGCTGAAAGAAAGAACAAACTGGAAAAGATGGTTGGCAAGAAACGATAGGGAGTGAAAATCAAGGCGGGTCCAGTGTTGCTGGCTGGCTGCAACAACTCGCCAATCCACGTTTCCCGTGGGTCCTTTCATCATTCCATCATGCAAGAAAAAGAGGAATCTTCCAAGGTTTTATGCCTTTGTGCGACAGTGATCGGCGGCAGCCAATAAAAAGCGTCCCGTACAATGCAAAATATACGACTCGTGCACGCGCCCACGAGAATGTTTCATAAAAATTTACCACACTAGGTAAATTCAAAGCAAATCATACTAGAGATTTTTACCGACTGCTTGGTTGAAAGGAATGAATTAGGGTGAAAAATTTTATAATTTGGTAAAAAAGAATAAAATAGGAATAAAGTACGAATTCAAATTATAGTGTTGATATGCAAAATAAGATTATAGGAAATAGAAAGGAAATAAGTGATACAATGACTGAAATGTCATCATGTACTAATAATAATAATGCTTTCAGGGATAAAAATGTCTTTCCAATCTTCAATTCAACACTGAATTACAATTCCTAGGGGAGGAGTCCGGAATTGTAATCAGCATTTGGAGGGAATTGCAATTCGGTGGAATTGCAATTCCCTCCAACCAAACGGTGTAATTATGGTTTTCGCGGAATTGCAATTCAACTACACCTTATAAACTACCTCCAACCATACAGGCTATTATAATAGGCTCGAGATGTTGAGTAGAATCAAACTTGTGACATTGAAGTACGAGAATCATGCATATACGTACTCTAGCTACCTACTTAGTCACATTTTTGGGGACATGTCCCTAATTTTTCATTGATTCACAAGAAAGCTCATAACAACTATACATATATATTCACTTTGAGTAAAATAAAGTCTATCTTGTAACCTTAGAGCACCATCAATTGTGTAGTTTTTAACACAAACTTTTAGATGCCTAGTAGGACTGAGAACTTGGAAAAGAGAAGAAAAGGAAAAAAAAAAAATCAGCAAAGGAATAACACGCCTAGTGGGTGTGTGGCGTGCACACGCCCGACTAGGCGCTCTTGGTGCGCCTAAAGCACTTGCTTTGCCTTTCTGTGGAGGTTACTATTTCTACAAAAATCAGAGTAATAATGACAGGAGTACCTTGAACACTCTCTCTCATATTTATCTTTCATCCACCTAACCTTTAAAACTTGCAAAAACTTTCTAAAATCAACTATTGTGAATGTTGTTAGTAGGTAAAAGACCATATACAATAAAATAAATTAACATACGGTATATCATCTCAAATCAAAAAGACCACGGTGTTGAACTTATAATAACCTATATTAGATTGCAAATGAGCAAAATAGACCTAAACTATATTAATTAGTCCATATATGCATGCGAAAACATTCATATTATGGTCTATTACTCTATACCCACCACATGCATTATTGTTTTAAAAACGCCAAATATATCTCAACAAATAACCCTATAGAAATGCAACTAACACATCATATCGCTCCTTAAACACTATAAAACCATGTACCACTCATCTTAGGTTTTCATCCATTTAGCTTCAACTTCAAGATGACGACTAAAATCTGCCTGCTTCTCATTGCCCTCTTCTCACTCTCCCATGGCAGCCACGTGCCCACTGCAAATCCCCCCACCGCTACCGCCGCCACCACCGCCGCAGATTCCACCACAGATTACTACGACGACTACCCAGCTCCTTGGGCCCCACCGGAGTGGTTCTACAACTTCTTCCCACCCCAGTTCGGCGACATGATCAGACGACAAGTGCGCGACATGTCAGGTTGGATCGGAGGACAATTCCAGCCGCCCTACGGCGGCGGCTCATCTCCGCAGCCGCAGCGGCCGCCGGTTCAACAACAGCCATCTGATCCGGCGCCGGGGGAGTGCACGGGCGTGACGCAGGTGATCGACACGTGCGCGCAGAAGCGCGTGGCGAAGTCGGTGAAGGATGGGTTTTCGTGGAGCTGCTCGTATAACGATGATTGTTGCAGGGCGGCTTTAAGCGTTAGCGATGATTGTATGAGCATTACTCCTATGATTAGGACGATCAAGACTGTCTGTTGTGGGGAAGGATATTGAATTGGTGGTCTTAGATTTTATATATTTTATTTGTCTGTTAATAATTTGCTTTTTAGATAGCTTATATTAATTGTTTAGCTAATTAAGCTAGGTAGATAGTTAGGTCATTTTAGCTTTTATTTTTTTAAAAAAATAAATATAAATGAAGCATTTTACCTTCTTTATTATAGTATCTATTCTATACATTTCTCTATCTATTGTAAAAGAATTAAGTATTTCAAAAAAAAATTATTTTTTAGTACACTCTAACATATTTATAATATCATCTTCTTTGTAAAAAGCAATAATATAATTTCATCAAACCACAATGTATTTGGTAGTAAATAAAAAATATAATATTGCATAACATATTCCCCAACGAGGCAATGAGTTATGACAATCTCAATAAATTTCATTTCCATACCAAGAAAAGAAGAAAAGAATGTTAGGTTGCATGCCCGATTGCCCGCACTTAATTTGTATATTTCAATATTTGTATGATATCAATATCAATTTTTAGAGGCATAATATTTATAAAAAATAAATTAAGAAATTAAACAAAAAAAATATGGTTAAAATTCAACACATTTATTATTATTATTATTATTATTATTATTATTAGGCAAAAGAGTTAAATAGGCTCATGTACTAACACAGATTGTTTATCTAGCATCATGAATTAAAATATGGTTCATTTAGGCTATTATATTCTCAATTATTTTTTATCTATCTAATATTTTTATCATGTTTCTAATAAGTAACTCATCTAATTTGTTAACATGAAAAAATAAAATAAATATAAAATGCTGAAATTTTATTTATATGGATGTTTTGGATGATTACAAAATATATAATTGTACACCGTACCATTCTTATTCTTGGGAATTGGATCACTGTCGACTTTGCTTGATTATTGGCTAAGCTAGAATTATTACTTTGTCAATTTGTTGGAGGTGACATGTAAATGCTTCTTACTGCATTAAAATCATTCAAATAAATTGTTACGCCGCGCCATTGGTCATTTAAATATGTAATTTAAGCAATTAAATCATTTTATTATAGAAAAAAATATTGTAAGCATTTTTATAGAGGTAGAACATTTTAGGTCACACGCACTGAGTTCTTTTAAAATGTTTTGAAAAGGCAGATTTCATACATTGTATCATAAAATCTAATACATTCATTAGTGAGGTTAAGACAATGTATAGGGGTGAATATATGATGCCAATAAATGTTAATTAAAATTTGAGGCAGTATCATAATTTTATGTGTAGTTTGATAGTAACTTTATAGGTAGTAGGTCGAGGTAGGTGTATAAATTTTAACACATAAGTAATGTTAATAACAAATTTTAACATATATGTAACATTAATAACAAATACAAATATATGTTTCTAAAAAGGTTTAATTTATTGATTACGGATAAAGAAACTTGATCACTTGCACATTTTATCAGATACTTACAAAATTTGAGAATCTTGGTTAACATTTTATCAAGTACCGGTTTGGAACGTTTATTGTTATACCTTAGTTTCGGACAAGCAGTCGTCAATGGCGTGCAAAGAGAAGAAGTTCGTTGTTTTATGAGATTAGAGATTTTGATTATTAGAAGGTTGATATTCATGTAATGCAAAATAAGATTTTAGAATAAAGTAAAATAAATCAAACAGATTTTTACGTAGAAATTCTTGCATCCAACTCAGCATTCACCAGGCAAACAGGTTAAAAATGCTAAGTGCAGTAGAAAATAATTGTATGCATATGGCCTATTTGACTTTTTACATTATTATTATTATTAAAAATACCCAATATATCTCAACAAATTGAATAGATAAGTCTTGCCAAACTTAATAATAGCTTTTATCCCTGTAGAAATGCAACTAACACTTGCCAGTAGTAACTATAAAATCAAGTCTCAGCCAGCATAGCTTTCCACTTCAACTCAAAAGTACTACAAGATGATGACTAAAATCTGTCTCCTTCTTGCTCTCTGCTCTCTTTCTATTTTCTCGTCACCCTCCCATGCCGCCCGCTCCGCCGCCTGGGATCCCCCTGCCGCCGACCTACAAGACCATAGCACCGCCGTAGTTTCCACTGAAAGTAACTCCAACAACCCTCCTTGGGTTCCACCGGAATGGTTTTACAGCTTGTTTCCTCCTCAGACGGCCAAGAAGATCAGAGATCAAGTGGGTATCATCACAGATTGGATGAAGCACTTTCAGCCTCCCAACGGCGGCGGCAATTATCCCTATCCCCTCCCACCGCCGCTTAATCAAAAACCTGTTGCCCCGACGATCCCTAAAGTTCAGCCACCGCCGGTGAAACAAGAACCCATTGCCCTGCCCCCATGGACCCCTGAAGTGCAGCCACCGCCGGTTAAACAAGAACCCATTGCCCCGTCGACCCCTAAAGTGCAGCCACCACCGGTAAAAGAAGAACCCATTGCGCCCCCGTCCCCGTCGACCCCTGAAGTGCAGCCACCGCCGGTAAAAGAAGAACCCATTGCGCCCCCGTCCCCATCGATCCCTGAACTGCAGCCACCGCCGGTAAAAGAAGAACCCATTGCCCCGTCCCCATTGACCCCTGAAGTACAGCCACCGCCAGTAAAAGAAGAACCCATTGCGCCGTCCCCATCGATCCCTGAAGTGCAGCCACCGCCGGTAAAAGAAGAACCCATTGCGCCGTCCCCATCGACCCCTAAAGTGCAGCCACCGCCGGTAAATCAAGAACCCATTGCTCCATCACCGTCTACCCCTAAAGTGCAGCCACCGGTAAAACAAGAACCCATTGCCCCATCACCGTCGACCCCAAAGGTGCAGCCACCGGTAAAACAAGAACCCATTGCCCCGTCAACCCCTAAAGTGCAGCCACCGGTAAAACAAGAACCCATTGCCCCGTCGACCCCAAAAGTGCAGCCACCGGTAAAACAAGAACCCATTGCCCCATCGACCCCAAAAGTGCAGCCACCGGTAAAACAAGAACCCATTGCCCCGTCGACCCCTAAAGTGCAGCCACCGGTAAAACAAGAACCCATTGCCCCGTCCACCCCTAAAGTGCAGCCACCGGCAAAACAACCGATTGCCCCGTCCATCCCTAAAGTGCAGCCACCGGCAAAACAACCCATTGCCCCGTCGCCCCCTAAAGTGCAGCCACCGCCGGTTAACCAACAACCCATTGCCCCGTCGACCCCTAAAGTGCAGCCACCGCCGGTTAACCAACAACCCATTACCCCGTGGACCCCTAAAGTGCAGCCGCCGCCGGTTAACCAACAACCCATTACCCCGTGGACCCCTAAAGTGCAGCCGCCACCTGTTAACCAACAACCCATTACCCCGTGGACCCCTAAAGTGAAGCCGCCACCTGTTCAAGAACAGCCAGTTTCTCCGCCGGTTGGGAAGTGCTCCGCCGTGGAAAAAGTATGGGACACATGCGCGCACAAGCACGAGGCGGCGTATTCGGTGAACTGGGGGTATGCATGGCACTGCACGTACAACGATAACTGTTGCAAAACGGTGCTTTTCGTTAGCGACGAATGTATGAACCTTAATCCTTTGATCAGGAGTATCAAGCATATCTGTTGCCCAGGTGCATGAAGAGGATTGAATTATTGATCGTCTTAGATTATACATATCGATCTTTTAATAATTACAGTAGCTTTTTAGGTGGCTTGTACAGCTAGCTAGTTAGCTCATTCTATTTATAAATAAATAGTTTTAAGAAGGTTAGCTATTTAATTAGCTAGTTTCAATTCTTGCTAATTTCCTATTGTAAATAATCATTTTTTTTTTGACTTATTATTTCGGAACCTTAATTCTCAGCTTGGTTTTTGCCAATACCCTTTTTGTCAAATCTTTCTTTTTGGTGTACTTCTCATGTGCTAGGACCAAAAGCACAACATTTATGCACTTCATCATACTTTGAAACATATTATAAAGTAACTTTGAAATTTTTTGTCATTGGGTTACATTTAGGTGGGCTTGTGAATTTGAACTTCTTTCATTATGTTATTGCTAGCAAATACCACCATTTTTTGCTTTAGATCTCCTATTTCCGCAAGAAATTCAGACCCGTTTTTGTCTGATCCTTCTAAAAAAATATTCATTCTCCTCAAAAAGAACATTTCTTTTTCGATTCAGCCCTGGTGTTGCCTGGTGTTGAATATCTCATTCAAGAATTTTTTTTTGATCCAATCCGTACGAATCAATAGAAAAAGAAAATCCCTTATGATACACTAGATCCGGAGTATTGCAATCTCTCTTCTGATTGGAACTGTCCAGATACATCTTCGGAACAACATTTTGTGTATTTTTTGGTTTGTTTTCTTGAATGAATTGAGACAATATTTTGTGTATTTTTTGTTTTGTTTTCTTGCAAGGTGAATCCGATGTTCACAATTTACATATTGACTCCGGGTTATCTTGGGTGATATTGGCAAAATTTATGTAAATATCAAAACTTATGTGAAAATACATTTAAAACTCACAACATCTACTCATGTGAGCATCATATCTAAGGCTTGTTCATGTGAAGAATATCATATTACAATTTATGTAAAATTAGTGCTTTCAAGAGTCTAGTTTGCAGACAGATGAACATCAAAGATCTTTCTTTTATCTTACCAGCTAATAATTCAGGCTTATTACTACACCATTGTTAGAAGAATCAGAACTCCTGTTTAATATATTCAAATCTGAAAGGGCCTCCTGCAATACTCATATTTCATCTCAAACTAATAAACAAAAGGGAGGAATCTATATTTAACTTTCCTAGAGTACTCCAAATATGCCTCACCAAATGTCTCAACCATTACCACTTCCTCTAATTTAGCCTTTTGACCATAGTACATCAAGCAAACTGCAATGGTGAAGAGAGTGCTCACAGGTGCCCTCAACGCGACGCAATAACTAGCAAACAGGAGCATGGTTGATGCATAAATGGGATGGCGAACAAACCGATAAGGTCCAAACTGCACAACTGCAGTGGGCACGACAACCTTTTCCGAATAATTGGCTAAGTACAATGTTGAATGATACTGCATGAATAGTGTCATGATGATCAAAGCCCAGACACCGGCATTGCTCCAGCCACCGGGAATGAGATGCAATTCCGGTCCTTCAAATGCTGCAATCCAATGCCCAACTGCAATCCCAGCACAGAACAATAGCTTATGCCAATTAGGAAGGGTAATATCCCACTTGGGATCGTGCTCTCTTGGGAAGAAATCACCATATAGACGCTTCCGAACACTCACATTGAAGAAAAAGAAGTAATGGTATACGAAAAAGAACACAAATGGCCACCCTTCGAGAAATCCATTGAAGTGAGCAGGTGGGACTAATGTGAGCCAAGTAAATGCCGAAGTAACAATGGCAAGTTGCTCAAGCACATTGGCATCACCGCGGAAATGTTTGTTAAGGCAATAAAACCCATATGCTGCAATCCCAATCGCCGCCATCCATGGCCAGAACAGCCAACTCCAGCTAAAATACATCCAGAAGAATGGATTGAACACTACATTGACAATCCACTTTGGCACTGCAATTGCAATTGCAATCACCACAGACCACTTGCACAAGTCGAAGGGGGTCAGCTGAGAAAAGCTTGATTTTATCAATTCCGCAGAGAGATTCTTCAGGCTTTCCAAGAACAAGGTCAGCTGAGAAAAGTTTGATTTTATCAATTCCACAGAGTGATTTCTCAGGCTATTCAAGAACGGGGTCAGCTCAGAAAAGTTTGATTTTATCGATTCCACTGAGAGATTTCTCAGGCTATTCCTGAACATGATCCCATCATCAGTCTTTGCAGTTGAGTGTTCACCGGAGCATTTCAATGGCAGTAAAGAAAAACGTTCAGAGGGTTTCTGTAATGACAGAGAAGAACTCAAATGGGTCTTGCTGAGCTTGAAGCATGCGTTGGCGTGTAAATTCTTCGCTGGAAAAGTGTCTTCCAAGTGTTTGTGACAATGTCTGAAAGAAACTGCATTGCCGTTCGGCAAGAAAACACCAAAAGGCAATACCTTTGAACCAGCAAAAACAGGACACGAAACCATGACCGGATGCCTGGATTTCAAAAGCGAGAGCTCGGAGAAGCGCAATCCTACAATGAAAATAAAATAAAATAAAATAAAATAAATTACAAAGCAAGAAAACAACTATATTTACCTGACTGTGGTCGGAGACTGCGATTGGACGGACTGAGGAAGTGGTCGGCGACTGGAGCCTGCGACGTCGTTTCTGGTCGGCGACTGGACGGACTGAGACCGTGCGACGTAGTTTCTGCGGCGGAAGGGGATATAATAAGGGAATAAGGGGTAAAGGGGAAATATTTTTTTGAAACAAGGGGTTAAAGGGAATTAAGGTATTTGTGTTATTGGTCGGCCATTGACCAATGCGCGTGTTCAATATGAAACATGTGCCGTATAACACAGGATCGCCCGTATTTAAACCGAAAACGAAAACCGTGAACTGCTTCGAGTTTCTGGATTGATTTTGTCAGTTTCGCGGCGTCGTTCGTCATTCTTCTCCGTCACTGAAGAAGCTTGAAAATGGAAATTGAATCTGGTCAATTTTATTTTAAATTAGATTTTTTTTGTTTTAATTTTTATTTTTAGTTTAATTTTTGTAACAAGTGACTTCAAATTTTGCAGTAGCGGAATTTTTGAGCTGCGTGGCGTTGCTTCAGAGATTGCCGAGGTCTTCTGTCGAGAGGATCTCACAGCTCGTTGCAGTTAAGAATTATGGTAGATTTACCATCTTTTTTAAAAAGTATTTTCTTTATTTTTTTTAGAATTTTCGTAGGTTTTGTACTTGCCTTGATGTGATTGATCAGCTATGGTAAAGCTCTTAGCTTTACTTGCTTTAGTAGTGAGTTAATCCTCAGATTTTGCTTTTTCTGCTTTTTTCTTATGCATTCTGTATATGCAAAGTTGAATTGCTTTTTAAAAGCCAAAATGGCTTTTATTTTTATTTTGTTTTGTTTTGTTTTAAATTAATGGATAGTGCTAGTATGAGTTAAACATGATTAGCATCGAGGGTTTTCAAATTGTGCCATGGAAATAAGCATCAAGCCTTTTACAAATCAAAGGATACAGTTTTTAGTACATGTAGCCATGTTGGCTGGATAAATGAAGAGTACAGATCTATTTGTACTTTTGTTTCTTTTCCATACCTTCATTGTGTACTTTAAATCTTTTTTTTTTTTTTTTTTGTCTTTCTTTTTAAAGATAGGGGTGATTATGTGCTACGCGAAGGGGAAGCTGGGGATGGGATTTACTTCATATGGGATGGACAGGTAAATTTGGACAGGAATCGCTGGCTTATCTCTTACGCTATGGAGGCAGATAGGCTTATGTGATAATATTGGTTAAATACAATTACATTTCCCTTCTGCAGGCTGAAGTTTGTGGTTCTGGCCACACTGATGATGAAAACCGTACTGAATTTCAGTTGAAACAATATGATTATTTTGGTCATGGTGCGATACAGATCCTTGTTTTTATGATTTATATTTACTTCCATTTCTCTAACTCCAGAAGTTAGATGCTTTAAATTTATCTCAACATTGGGAAATTTGGTCTTGAATATTGTATTGAATTCGTGTATATCCTTATTATATTTATTTGTGATGGCGTGATAAAACTTTTGATCGTGTTGCAGGCCTGGCATCATCGGCTCAGCATGCTGATGTAATTGCACTCACTAAAGTACTCTTCATCTCTAAGACTAATATTTCATTCTTATATGATTTAATGTTTACGGTTTACCAGTGATGTTTGCATCTAAGATTATAATAAGCTTTTTTTTTTTTTTTTTTTTTTTTTTTTTGATGGTAGCTAACCTGCTTAGTGCTGCCTCATGAATATAGTAGTCTGCTACATCCAAAATCGATCTGGAATGCTGACAAATCAGTAGACAATTGCTCCCTTGTGGAACACATATTGCATTTGGAACCTATAGAAGTATGTATTTGGACTGTAATATGTACTATGTTCTGATATCTGCTATGTTGTTTTCTATATCCCTTCAGTTTATCATTCATTGTTGTCCCTGTATATTTATTAGTAATGATAATTACGAGAACGAGTTTTACATAGCAACCCCATAAATTATAGAGACTTCTCTCTTGCAAGGTTTCTCGAGAACTCATGGTTCCTGAGAATTACTTAAAAATTTCAAAGAGCTGCTACCAAAATTTATCCACACATCCCTCAATTAACAAGAGGTAGAAATGAAAAGCTGAATTATAAAATAAAATTATGTGTAAATCCACACACGAATAGCCTTTACATTTTAGTGCTGAAAACTGGCTCTTTGGTGCGTTCTGATAGATATTTCTATCACATTTTGGGAATTTTCTTCTTAAATAGCCCTCCTCCCACCAGATTGGGAAATTGGAAGGCTTTGTTTATTCTAGTTTCTAAACTTATATATGTTTTCTTGAAGGTGAATATTTTCCGAGGTATCACATTGCCTGATGCTCCAAAATTTGGTAAAGTATTTGGTGGTCAATTCATGGGGCAGGTACAACAGAATTTCTTCTTCTTTCTTTTTTAGTAATTATTTTTGTGTGAAGTTTTATTTTGATGTGTTAAAATTATTACGCCTTGGTGTATGGTTCCCTATGATTTATCGTCAAGTATCCTATGATTAAATTATTCATTAGCTATACAAATGACTGTGTAATGCTTAATTATCTGCAGGCATTAGCTGCAGCCACAAAAACCGTTGATTGTCTCAAGATTGTTCATAGTTTGCATGCCCACTTCCTTTTAGCTGGGGATTTTGATAGTGAGCACCTTATCTTCTTTCATTGGTGAACTTTTTACTTGAACTCACAGTTTATTAATTTAGTGACTTTGTTTGATATATCAATCCAAACAAAGTTTCCGTAGATTTTAGTTTTTTCTAATGTGATACTTTTGGAAGTGTGTCCCACTAGCACTCATGTATTGATTTTTATAGTACCGATAATATATCAAGTTCACCGTGTGCGTGACGGGAAGAGCTTCGCAACCAGGAGGGTAGATGCGATACAGAATGGGAATGTTGTATTCACTTTGGTTGCTTCATTTCAGGTGAAGAATCAAATCAATGAAATATTCATTCAAATTGATTGCTTTAGTTTGATCCGGAGATTCCATATTATTTGTTTTTCTCCTGTTTAAGTCCTTAAATTTGATGATAATATTTATAATCGTTGTGGTTTCATGTCCATACTTTATGTGCTTATCCAAATCTATAGATTGATATCTAATGGATGAAAGTAATTTGGTAGAAAGAAGAAGAAGGATTTGATCACCAGGAAGCATTAAAGCCTAATGTGCCAGATCCAGAAACGGTACAATATTATTCCGTTTTCCCCTCCAGTTCCGTTTCTTCTTGATGGTTGATTCCCGGTTATTGCAGCTTTTATCCATGGAAGAGATACGCGAAAGACGTATGACCGATCCTCGTCTTCCCAGGTTAGACTCTTTGTTCTAAAAACAGTCGAGTAGTGCTTTTGTCAATCTAGAAAAAATTCTCTAAATAGGCTTTCTTCAATGATATGATGCTTCTTATATTTTCGAGTAAAGCCCCTTGACTCACCGAGTTGTTTAAAATTTCCCAGGACCTATAGGAACAAGGTAGCTACTAAAAAATTTGTTCCATGGCCAATAGAGATTCGGTTCTGTGATCCTAATACTGCCACCAGCCAGACCAAGAGTCCTCCAAGGTTAGCTCTCGTTCTTCTTGGTAGTTCTTGAAATTTTTGGTTGATGTTATTCCGAATTAATATGTTGTGGGGCTGGGGGCATTTCCTCATTCTTGATCTGTTTGGTATAAATGCAGTTTGAGATACTGGTTTAGAGCTAAGGGAAAACTTTCTGATGATCAAGCTTTGCACAGGTAAGTACCAAAACCTGTATTAAAACTGCCACCCTTGCTAAAAAGTTCGATGATGAACTCCACCAAAAACTTGTTCTTACGATATGATATTTACGTAAATTTGTTAATGCTATCTTGGATTGTTTGCAGGTGTGTTGTGGCGTTTGCATCAGATCTTATCTTTGCTAGTGTAAGTACGAACCCTCATCGCAGGAAAGACCTGAAGACTGCTTCTGTTAGTCTAGATCACACGTAAGTGCTATGAGTTTTACATCAGTGTTCTCTTTTCAAATATTCCGACTCATTTGTTCTTTTCCAACAGGAAAATCTCTGTTGAGCATATAACCATTAATGTGCAATCCAACTATCAGCTTAAGCTTTTAGTTTAGATGGAGCACATGCTTCAATTATCTCAACATACACACAATCAATAAGTTGAAACTTTTAGGTTGCTAGTAAGCCCTCATGTTTCAGAAAATTTGTATGGTCAGAATTATGATTTCTTGGAATATAATATGAAGATTATGGACAGACCTGGGGATACTAATGACCCCGACTTTCTCTTTTTCAGGATGTGGTTCCATAGACCTCTTCGGGCTGATGATTGGATATTGTTTGTGGTGAGCACTGGATTATAAACTTAAAAAGTATTCGAGAAAATTACTAACTATATCCATTAGTTCTAAAGCTCGTATTTTTCTGACAGATTAAGAGTCCTTCTGCATACAATGTACGCGGTTTTGTTTCCGGGGAAATGTTTGACAGGAAAGGAACGGTAAACTGCTACACACTCGAAGCTTTTATTGAATCATTTCTATCTATTATGTGCTTTATCTTGGCCATTCATCTTTCTCAAAAAACTGCATGCTTCGGTTTTGGCTCAACATTTATTTATTATTTCAAAACATGGTAATTGCTAGCTTGTGGTATCGCTTACTCAAGAGGCGTTACAGAGGATGGTGAGGCCCCATAAGCCCGTTGTCCAGTCCAAGCTGTAAAACTCGGTTTCAGCTACTATACAGCTGATGTACGCTGTGAGGAGAGTCGGGAATGAAATCTTTCACTTCTGGGAAATACGTATTCTCGAAATATTGATCATCACTCATCAAAGAAACGCGGTTAGTGCCACGGATTTCTTGATTTTATTTTACACTTCAACTTCATCAACCAAGGCAAAGACATAATGCAGGAAATAAATTCTTCCTGGTTATATGGTTTTTTATTCTACTTTTATACTGCGTTATAGTGTGGACTAGTTGCTTTGTACACTATGGAAAACATAGAATATATCGTGTATCAGACGTATCCGGTAAGAGATAATATTATAAATGCTCATCAGAGTTGCATTCTATGTTCATTATGACTGCATTCTATGTTCATTATAGATGTCCGAATTCGATTACCATCGATATTTCAACGTCATATGTATAAACAATAAATGTGTAGTTAGTGGGATGGCATCCGAGGCTATCTAATAAATGTGTAGTCTAACTATTAGCTTAGGCTCTTGATAATGAATAGAGACAAATTTGTGTCTCTAAATACTCTGTTCGAGCAGCACGTGTGCCTAATTGAACTTGACTTGAGTTAAGCTTGAACTCAAAATTAGGTTGAGCTTGAACTTTGAGTTTAGACTATTCAAATTTAACTTGACTCTTTTGAACATATAATTATTAATGTGCAATCCAACTATGAGCTTAGATTTTTAGTTGGGATGGAACATATGATTCAATTTGGTATTAGAGTCATGTCAAAGGTTATGAGTTCTACACACGTGAGGAGGCGTATTGAACATATAATCATTAATGAGATGGAGCACATGATTCAATTGACTCCGCTCAATGAATGTAATAATGCCGTCCTCTCCAAAATAAAATAAAAACATTGGGAAAGCATCGAGGTGGCATGGCGCTATCATTAAAATATCCGGAAAAAAAAAAACAGACAAAAGAAACCTTGTAAAAGTCGAATTAAAATGCAGACCAAAACCTGCAAGTATATAATACGATCATCGTTCACCTCGATGAATTATCTTCAATGAATCGATGAACACAAGGTGACGACTTTTCGTCCTCGCTGCTCGTTCGGTCACCCTGCTGCCCGCCTAACTGGAAAAATGTGTATTATATAAACCTCCATTGCTCTCTGTTTACAAAGAAGCTTTGATGGAAGGCCACACCATCCATTTACCAACTTCCAGCAAGGTAATCTCTCTCTATATATGCATTTGTATTTCTATATATAATATTTGTACATAGTATTAACAAATTGACACAAAACGGAAACGTGTAGTTTTTACTCGGAACATTATGCTGTGGATACGTGTTCACCATTCGCATGGTGAATACGGGGTAGATCCATAATTTTTATACTGTAGATTCATAATTTCTATACTGTAGATTCATAATTTCTATACCGTAAATTCATAATATAGTTATGTGATTTGTGAATACAGAGTTTAACAGTTAGGATATATTATATATGAATATCGATTCATAATTTCTATATTGTACACAGGGGTAGATTTATAATTTCCATACTGTAGATTCATAATTTCTATATTGTAGATTCATAATTTATGTACTGTAGATTCATAATATCTGTACTGCGAAGACGAAATAATGCGATTGCGAAGAGATAAAACGCCGTTAACAATAAATGAAAAACAAAATTATGAATCTACAACATAGAAATTATGGATCTACCCATGTGTTCAGCATACGCATGGTGAACACGTATCCACAACATAATTTGCGTTTTTACTCATGTTGAACTAGTCGTTTTGGATTTTGCATACTATTACACAGCCCGTTTGGTTTGCTGAAAAATATTTAGAGGGAATGAAATGGAATTGAAATTCCATAAAAAATAAAATTCAGGAAAATGGATTTCATTGTTTGGTTTGTGGAAAAGAAATTACTTAGAATATAAATTCACAATAATAACAACAACAATAATAATGATAATTAAAAAAAGTTGGTGAAGACATAATTGTCCTCCTTGTTTTCCATCAAGTGGCCAAGGAAAATGTCTTCCAATAGAAAATATTTTTCATCCAACCAAACAAAGAAAAATAAGTTTTCCTCAAGTTCAAAGAAAACATTTTTCATCCAACCAAACACCTCCTTACTGTTTTTTGACGGCGACATGGTGTTTTGTTAGAGAGGCAAAACTGGGGAATGATGCGGACTCATATTACTCTAGTAGCATCACTGGAACAAAACTTCACAAATGAGTGCTTTAGGATTCAAACTACTAACTATTCTATATAGAAACAAAGGCCTTACCATCTAAACTAAATCAACCTTTGTATATATTCTTGTATATTTAATATATATCTAATATATTGAGGGATGGGGGAGTGGGGGCAGCTGCCCCCACTTCCCCATTGTGGATCCGCCAGTAGTGCCATTAGAGGGGCAAGATTATGAAATGGTGCATTCTTGACTTATATTACACTAGTTTGTGAAATTTTTACTGTTTTGGACAGCAACATCATGTGCTGTTAGATAGACAAAATTTAAAAAATACTATGTTTTTGACTCATATTGCGTTAATAGTTTGTGATTTTTTACTAGTTTTGGACTATGACATTGTGCTGTCAGAGAGGTAGAACTAAAAAATGATGCGTTCTCAGCTCATGTTATCGTACTAATAGTTTCTAAATTCTTATTATTTTTGAAATGTGGCATCGTGCTATTAGCTAGCTAGACACCTAGAACTAAGAAATGCTACATTCTTGACTCACGTTACACTACTATAGTAGTTTGTAAATTCTTATTGTTTTTTAATTGGAATATGTGACATCCTAGCCAATTAGAAAGTAGTCAAAGTATGACAAAGATATTTATAAATTTAAGAATTGATTTATCTAATGGGGGTGGGGGGTTGACTAAATTTTTCTCTTCCAAATATGAATTTTGAGAAGAAAGATGAAAACATGTAGAGCAATCTGCTCAATCAGAAGGCGCGTAATGCTTTTAGTTTTTTTTTTTTTTTTTTAATAGAATTTATTGTTTTTTTTTCCCCTCTTTTTTTCTCTTCTCACTTCTTCTGGAGAATTGAGGTTGCTTTTATATTACGTGCAGCAACACGGGTTAGCTGAGCGAGTTGACTCGGGAGCTCGTCCATATCGTCTTCTCGACTGCTCCGCAAAGGGCGACAAAGAAGGAGTAATACAGGAGCTAGAAAAAGGAGTAAAGCTCAACCTGTCGGATTACGACAAGAGGACGGCGCTGCATTTAGCATCCTCCGAGAATAGGCCCGACATTGTTGTCCTGCTTCTTGAGAAAGGAGCTGATGTCAACTCCACTGATCGTTGGGGACGAACTGTATGTTGTAACTTCAATCATAATATTATTATTGTCTCAATCATATCATATCTATCTACGTGCATTTTAATATTTCACGAGAGAAGAATATCAAATATCAATTGTCATGCCATGGACCAGGGTTCATATTGCACTGTGAATCTAATATAAAAATTCTGTACATTCAGTTAACGTACACATTCTGTACCTACAGTTAATCGTTTCTGTACATGTAATGATAACTACATGTACAGAAACTATCAACTGCAGACACATAATGTGTGATACAAAATCTGACTTGATAATTGTTGACACATAATATGATAGTTACATGTACAAAAACTATCAGCTGGAAGTACAGAATGTGTCAACTATAGATACAGAATCTGAAAGTTATTTTTGGACCAGGGTCTACAATGCAAGGTAGACCCCGGTCCACAGTATAATTTGTTGTGTCATATATGCATGTAATGATAATCATAATATAATGTATGTTTGTATATATGCCTTACATTCTACAGTAATGTAATGTTGTGCAGCCACTGTCAGATGCTCGTGAATTTGGGCATACCAACATCTGCAAGATTCTTGAGGCACATGGTGGAACTGATCCGGTATGTTACGTTATTTTTGTGAGCAATATATGCTGGTTTACCTTGTTGTGATCCTTTGCTGGCCCGTAAATCAAAAGTACTCTTCTAAGAATGCATATATGCACATTGAATTGATGAATGTATATATGTGAAAATTTTGTGTGTGATGGATCAAATGGCCTATCCTCATTTCATTTTTGTTGAGGCAGATGGGAAAAACACAGAGCCAATGCTGTGAGATTGATGAGGAAGAGGTGAACATGAGGGATAAGATTCTCATTGGAGAAGTAATTACTCTTACCTAGAAGCTAGCCAAAGGCAAATATCTATGATGTTACCTTAAACTTTGTCACTTAAGCTTAATAATGTTTTTTGGTGCTATATATGATGCTAATTGCTCACCAATCACAGGGTGCATATGGTGAAGTTTTTCTAGTTGAGTGGAGAGGCACAAAAGTTGCAGCAAAAACCATTCGCCCCGCCATTGCTTCGAACCCAATAGTGAAGTGAGTTATATATGCTGAGCATATAATATATAAATATAAATAATAAACGTGCGGTCTGATTGAAAGCTAATTGCTTTGTAGGAAAAACTTTCTCATGGAACTTGGGTTATGGCAAAAACTACGTCATCCCAACATAGTTCAATTCCTCGGTGTTCTAAGGGACGCTGATCAACTTGTCCTATTAACCGAGTATTTGCAAAATGTAAGTGTTATATATCCAATAAGTAGCAATTCTTGGGGATCTTGAACATGACTTTGGAAGTGTTACATTGCTAGGGAAGCTTATATGACCTATTAAGAAAGAAAGGGAAACTTGAAGCAGAGACCGCTATTTCATATGCTCTAGACATAGCAAGGTAAGCATTCTTTAAAATAAGGGGACCATTCGTTTTTAGTCCCTGAGTTATTCTCCACCGGTCATTTTAGTCAATCACTTTTTCCTATTGCAATATACTTCTTGACTTTTTAAATGAGTTGCAGTTTTAGTCATTAGGATAACAAAGTTAGAGATATATTGTGAAGGACAAAAAACTAGTGACTAAAACGAATAGTAGAAAATAATTGATGAGGGGGTAAAAATGTATTCTTTTTCCCTTAAAACAACAACACTTGGGCTCAGTTTAAACTGTGTTGTTTTAACATAGGATTTGTGTTTGCAGAGGTATGAATTATCTCCATCAACACAAACCTCATGCTATAATCCACAGAGATTTAACACCTAGGTACTGCCAGTTGAAGATCAAATGACTAAATTAACAGTTTTTCACAGATACAAGTCAAGTAAAATGCAAGATTTTCTTGTGATCTTTGTTCTGTGTTTCAACTTGCAGAAACGTGTTGCAGGATGAATCAGGACGGCTTAAAATCACAGATTTTGGGCTAAGCAAAATTGCCCAGGAAAAAGACTCTCAGGTCTATAAAATGACTGGAGGGACTGGATCATGTACAATCAATTTCTTGGCTGAAATCTGCAGAACTTTTATCAGTTAAAAACATCCTAATAAGATGCATTATATTATGTTGTTTCTCAGATCGTTACATGGCCCCAGAAGTATACCGGCGAGAATCATATGGAAAGAGTGTGGATGTATTTTCCTTTGCACTTATTGTTCATGAGGTAAAATGAATCACAATTACTACATTTGATTGGCTCAAACCAAGAAAGCCAATAAGCCGCTTTGGAAGTCAAACTTGTAACCTTGTTGTTACCAAACCAACAATCTGACCGACTTGGCTCGATTAGATATTCTTGTATATATCATACTATTTAAGATCTAATCGAGCCAAGTTGGGTCTAAATAGTCAAAACTTGAAGTTTGAACCGGGTGTTAGGTCTAATCGAGCCGAGTTGAATCCAAATAGGTAAAGCTCGAATTTTGAACCAAGGTTCAACTCAAGCTAACTTGGTTCAAATAGGCTCAATAACAGAAAGTTATATTTTTTACACAAAGAGTTGTATTAAGAATGCCCAGATGCTCAAATTCGACTTCAGCTTGATTCATTACTTGAATTACTTGAGATCAAGCTCGGTTGAACATAATAGTAATCGAATTGGATTCAAACATTCATCAAATTGAGCTTGAGTAGTATATTATATCATACCTTAATAAGAATCTAAGATGGAGATTATTGTGCAGATGTTCCAAGGAGGTCCAGCAAATTGGGAGGATGCCCCAGAGCAAGTAGCAGACAAGAGAGCATATGAAGACTCTAGACCACCCCTGGCTTCCTATATATACCCTGACCCAATCAAGCAGTAAGATAGGATCAACTTCCAAGTGTCCTAAAGAAGGACAACTTTGTATTTTTGGACTACAACATCACGCTTTTGTAGACTTTGCCTGTATATTTACGTGTATGTATGTGTGTGAGCGAAACAAAATAATAACGAAATCTGGTGGTTGGTATGCAGGCTGCTAAGAGAATGCTGGCACAAGAACCCGGACCGAAGGCCATCATTTGAAGAAATAATAATAAGGCTAGAGAACATACAAAATGACATGAATCAAAGAAAAGGCATAGGACCTTGTTGTAACTGCGTTATATCATGAGATAACGTTGTTTGTCTTTAGTTTGTTTGTGCATTTTGTTGATGCTGACGATAACTATAAAATAATAAAGCGAAGCTCGACCATAGTCTTGGATCTGATAAATAAGGTTGTCCCTTAATTGGTTTTCTGTCAGAACTGTACCAGGATATGCTGCAATATAATGATATATATATATATCAGTGGATAGAAAGGTGTTCATGTTATATTGCAGCAGTGACAAAACTATATTTTTCTAGCTACATTCTTGTATAACCATATGTACACTGTACAAGAAGTTCAGTTCTGATAATCTGATCTAGTACACATTCATTTAACCAATTCAGTCTTTCTTCTAATCTTCTGTACGGTTTAGATGTGGGATGACTTTTGCTCAGCTCAGCTGCTCTTCATTGTGTCCATGGCAGATCTGCATCCCAGTCCTGTACACCAAAATTGCGCCATCTTTCAGTTCTGTGAGGTTGGCCATCCATTTGGAGAGTGTTCAGTAAAATGCCTATTTCGTCTTGCATTGATGCGGGCTTGAATGGTTTTCTCGTTCGCCATTGCTTCTCGGATGCTGGTGTGAAGCGTATTGCAGAGCTCATCCAGTGCAAGCATTGGAAATGGCTCCTCAATAAGAACACCAACCTGTATGTGACATACAAAAAATGGAATCTAAGATTGGGACAGGGTCACTCAACTGGACTATAATGCAGATGAGTTAAACCACACTAAAAGATTGAATCCAACGAATTAGCTAGTCTAACTCATGGCTTTATAAACCTATATGTTCTCTCTTATTTTATCAATGTGGGACTTTTAAGATGTGCATTTGTCTCCTGGTGAGTTAATTGCATATGCAACAATGGAGGAAAGAGGGGAGGAGAGTGAAACAAACCTCTTCAATGCAGAAAAGAGAAGCAGCGCTGATGAAGGTTGCAGGAACCACAATCCAGTGGCAATCATCCCAGAGTATAATGGGAAGTGTAAGATGCCAAAGCACCAAAAACCTCGAGGTTAGTCGAGTGTATGATAGCGGGATGGGAATGCCTATGAGCTGTTCGCAAGCACTGATTCCTTCATGGAAACACGAAATCTTTGACTCCTACAAAACGATCATCAGAAGGCAAAAAACATTTCATTTTTTCAAAAATCTGCAGCTTCAAGTGTTATAACAGACTGAAAAGAGAAGTACAGAATATGTTGTACCCAGAGTTGCCTCTGGTTTTTGTGTCCAAGAAAATTACCAAGAGATGTAGCCTCGTCTCCTCTATGTTTAGAGATCGAATGCCATGCGAGATAAACTCAAGGATGCAGTGAGGCCGATGTTTTGAACTGAGAACTACAGACAGATCATCAGCCTCCAACAAGTTTTTGAGGTCACTTGCCATATCTGAACCATAGACTAAGTGGCACTGCATTGAAAAAGAATCATGTCATGAGTGCCATCTTCATAAAATGAACCTTAAAGGCATCAAAATGGGGTCTTGAACCACCTAAATTCTATCTAAACAAATTCTCCCATGTGGGTATCACATAAAACTACTGTTTTCCAATTTAGCTTGGGATAACACTTGCTTTCTTTAGTAATAGCTGCAGATTATAAGATTATTATGCACAGTACCAACCTTAAGAGCAACTGGGAACGCCATGATATACTGCAAAAGAGCATTTTTAAGCAATTTATCACTTTTGCTCTCAACACCGGATATCACTTGCACTGCAAAATCACTGGCCCCTGCAATCACCTTAGTCCAAGCCAATCTCCCTTGTTCTAGCCGCGAGTAGGAAGCCTCCGTCCTGAACACCAGGAGAAGCGCCAGCGCCGGCGCCGTGAGCTGGTACGGCAGGGAGGAGGCCCTCAAAACCGGGAAGAATTCCGGCAGCCAATGCAGAGAAACGGCGGAATTGTAAGAGGCGACGATGATGGCCACCGATGTGAACGCGATAACCGGCGGCACCAGCGACAAGATAACCCTAGAATTCAAGCTCGTGAGCAGATGCCTAAGATGCCTCAAAGAGCTCCGGTGAATCACCCAATCTTCGTGCTTGTACAGAGCCCTCTTCTGCTGCATACGGTTCTCCTGGATTGCATCTGCCCAGTCGGGTATGACCCGGAGAATCCATGGAAAATTCGAGATTTGGGTTGGGGGAGGGTGAGGGTTGTTCTGGGATGAACAACACACCACTCTGAAGCTGAGTTTCTTGAGCTTGGAGGAAAACAATGGCGGGTGGAAACTGAGGGGCTTATGATGAGAAGCGCATGAGAAATTGGTGGGGTGTTGAATGGTCATGGAAGCTGAGGGCTTTGACATGGATGGAGGATATTAGGGTTAGGGTTTGGGGAGTGAAGGAGAGTGATCGGAGGAAAGAAAGGGACATGGGGGATCTTTCAGAGAATGAAGTGAGAGTAGGGAAAAAGAAGGGGGAAGCTGTACAGAGAATGGATATTAGGTAGTTGAAAAACAGTTAATTTGTGTGAATGTGGTTTTTACACCTGTTCCCATAGAATCTTTGACAACAAACATTTTATTTTTACATTCTAGGTTTGGTTTGAAGAATAAAATGAGGTTACAAATTGTTTTTTTTTTTTTTTTCACCATGTATTATCATATTTGAAATTAATCTAAATTTGACTCCAACCATACACATAGAGTTTGTTAATTTGCATCATTTTTATTTTTAATTTGATATATATATATATATATATATATATATATATATATATATATATATATATATATATATATATATATATATAAAAACTCTAAAATTCATTTATAAATAGTAAATAAATTTTACATAATTGAATGTTTGTTAAATTGTCGGACTTCCTAAGATAGTTGAACTTGAAATATTATAGTTGTCAAACTAAACTGTTCGATTAACTTGGCTAGGGGTTGCTTCCCTTCTCAAAGGGTATGCCTAAGTAGAAGGGTCGGTGTTCACTGTGATATTAATTCTCAAAATAGTGATCTTCCCCAAGAGTAAAAGTCGAATCCTTTAATGATATTCTTTTCACAAAGGGTTGAATTATCAACTCCAAATACTTGATAAAGTATGTGAGAGGATGTAAATCACAGTAATTTAATGATTCAACAGATATGACCAAATGTTAATGCGTACAAGTGACCTGCACTCTTTGTGCATAATTCTCTTACTGATGATCGCTGTCGAGTTTCAAACCTTAGTATCTTTCTCCAAATATTGCTTACTGAACCAGTAAGTTAAGCTCGTACGGGCCATTTAATGTTATTCTGAATCCTTGTCGTTAACTAAAATCACGACTCACCCCCTTTTATTAAATAATTAAAGCATGACACATTATTAATAGTAAAAAATAAGAGGACATGTAAAATTAATCATACCAAAATGATTGAACCATTTATCTTTTGTAACATTTGACCGTGCGTTTTCCATGCACTAGTCGTGCGCATTATATTTTCATACATATTTTCATCCGGTCTTGACATCATTTGATTCGTTTAATTTTTTTAGTTAATGATTAGTTAGCTTAATCATAGACACCTAATGATTAAGAAAAAAAAAATAACAACTCTACTACTTGCCCAAAAGACTAAACTTTGTAAAGAAAATTATAAAATATAACCATAGTAGAATTATTCTTGAAATTGGAACACATAACCAATTGACCAAATAAAGGCCTTTGCCTCTGCAAATATTCAAATTTTAATTTCCTATGAGATTCTCTTCCTAATTCCTATAAAGCTCCTCGCCTCTGCGAATCTCAGAAGATCGAAGAAACTTTTTCATTTTATTCTTCCGTAATCGCTGCTCTGTAAGGACTAAGGATTACTCATGGAAGACATGAGAGCTGCTCCGCCGCCAGCGAAAAAGAAGCGGCTTGACGTCGCGCACTTGCAGAGCACCCCTTACTTCAAGATGCGAGCCATAGTCAAAGAGCTTCGACCCCATATCATCGAGGTAAACTCCATTTTCCAAGAAATTTGAGAATCGGTAGACGTTTGAAAGAATTTTGGAGCGATTAATTATACTTCTTGTGCAGTTGTTAAAGTTGTTTTCACAAGGTTTGGACTTTGTTTGATTATTCTACTTGATAAATCACATCGTAGAATGTTAAGTGAAATGTGTTTTTCTGGATTCACAAAAAAGAGAAAAAGATCAGAAAATTATTAACAGTTCAAGATTTGTTGATGATGGTAAAATTTTGCCCTTTGGGTTGCAATTTTCACATTTTGTATTTTTTGGGGGTAAATTTAGTTCAATTTTCAGTATTCTAATTTTAGTTTTTAGGGTAAGTTGAAAAATCTGTTATTTAAGCTTTCTGTACCTTAATTGGGTTCATATTTCAGTTCTGGATCATGCATTCATGTTTGCCTAGGAGATGACAACTTTTGATGTTGAAATCTTGAAAAATGTGTTTACCATTACCAATATGATTGGCTAACCCAGTTTAGGAATTTGAAGAAATAATGCTATGATATGCAATAGATAAATTCAAACGAGATATTAGAGCAGCCATCACATTGGATTGGCACTCTGCTTTCTGCTGAAGGTGCTAATTCCTAATGCTTGTAGCAGATGCATAAGAAGTAGTCTCAAGCTTAATATATGAGAATACAAGAGTTCTAATTGATTCTAGCAGTGAGTCTTGCCGAGTGTCCAAATCTGACATGAATACCTGGACAAAGTGTTCATGGCATGTTTATTTAATGGAATTTGATTGAGGGGCCTAAATTTCTTACTGTTTTCTTGAAGGTTCTCCGTACTCCTGACTTTCGGAATTGCAAGGCGGCTACTGAAATTCGTCAAGGTAAGATTTTGAAGATTAGCTCTGTTGTCAATTTATATCGGGATGTTTTTAGTGAGATTCAGGTCTAAGCTACTTGCATGATTTTCATTTTCATGCAATTTGAGAAATGAGAATGTGTGTTACTAGTGCATTGTACTGTCTCCTGTTCTATTAACATCTAAAGAATTGCATATTCTGCAGTGATTATTTTTGCTTTCAGCATTTGGCATCTTTTACTCACCTCCTATCTGTAAAAAAAAGGGTAATGTTGATGTTAAACTATAATTTAATGACTCCAAAAAAATTTCATACAATAGGTTAAAAACGCCTTTCCTATTCTTTTAACTGCAGGTAGTTCTTGCATGTACAATTCCATTTATTTGTTCATGATGAGAATAGTCATCGCTTAGCAACCATCTATTTCTTAAATCTCTGATTCGATGTGGGGCATTGAAATTAAGATGCTAGTTACTTTTGGCTTTGTCTGTTGACCAAAGAATTTCCCAGATTCCAAAATTGCATCTATTCTGAAGTAATGTTTAGTTTTTACATTCTAGATTTGACGGTTTATTTTAGTTTAATGTGCTTATATGTGTATAAATGTTAATGTGCAGAGCTGAATGTTCTGATGGATCTTTGCAAAGTGATGGCAGCAGAAACAACCGCACCAGAGAAACCTAAGAATGCAACCGAAGGTCGTACTTTGTTGGATAATATCGAGGATAGACGAAAGCCCGGGTCTTTCCACCAAAACATGAAAGCTGCGGAGAAGCCTTTGTCAGAGAGGCCATCAATGAAGCCCTCTGAAGATCATAAGACAATCTCCTCCGAAAGTCTCTCCTCAAATCAGCACACTGTCGATGCCATTGCCCAAGGGACATACATCGTAGGTGGATCAGCGTTCGGGTGGAATTTCATAGCGTATCCTGGCACTACGACAGTGTACTATGGCCGAACAAAGGAGGATTTCCGATCTGCAAACCCAAAATCTCAATGAGAGCTGGCGTAGGCTTCAATTTACATCAATTTTATGCGAAATGAACAGGTGGTTAACTTGGTATTGTAGTTTCGGAGCTCAGCAGTTGTAATCTACATGATCGGCATTTCTAGTTTGCAGACTAACAAGAGTTTTAAGGTGTTAGTGGAACATCAAGTGTGTCAGCTTCATAGATTTTTTTTTACTGGTTTTCACATGTAGATGCTGTATTTCTGTGGCAAACAAATCTACTAATCAAGTTCATGTCAAAATGAAATTTTTTATATGTTATTTATTTGTTGTTTAAAACTTTAGATCAAAGCTTGTACAAGACATATTGATGTACGGGAAAGCCCTCGGTTATTGCCCAAATTTGCATTCTGAGTGGAGTTGATCACAAAAAGGTAAACTAGCTTAGGTTTTCAATAGACAATTTTCACGAACAGTTGAATTTAGAATATTGTGACTACGGAGCCAACTATTCGATCAACTTGGTTAGGAGTTGTCGTTATCATGTACCGAGCATGATTATAACTTCTTGCATTTTAAATTATTAGAAAAGTTTATTACTTTTTTACAACTTTTAGCTCGAGTCGCGGTAACTTGGAGTGTTGGTAAATAAATTGTTAATGTAATTTATTTTACAAAAAAATTGTTAATGTAATGGTAATGTCTTTTCATTCATCTGAGTAAAGTCAAACGTTGGTACTGAATGAATGTAGTTGTTATACACTTATACCATGGATTATGGTTCATTTTGCAAGGTAGATCATGGTCTTAAATTGTGTATTTTTTTAGTATTAGAATTTGAGAATCTGTAAATATAATACATGGTCACCACAAATTGTGAACTTTTAAAAGGTAAATTATGAATATTTAGTATATAAATTGTGTATCTTTGAACGCGAGTTTACATTGCAAGGTGGACTTGGGTCCAAAGAATAATTTGCCGAATGAATGGGGAAAAAAAAAATCTTAGCTCGAGATTTTTGGCTCTTCGCCAATTAAGTAAGACTTTTGGGTTGAAATATAAATAAGAAGAAATATGACGTGCAAAAACAAAAGGGGAATTCCAATAAAGGTCTAGCTGGAGTTAGGGTTTACTGCAAATCGCTACGCCACTCCTGAAAGCATCGAGCAACTGCAGTAACAGAGAGGCTTGGACAAGAGAAAAGTGCTTCCGTTTAGCAGATAGAAATGTCGAAGAAGAATAATTTGTCTCTCCGAAGAAAACAACATGAATTCGATCTACAAAGTAAGTTCACCACGACAAATAAATTCTATGTTTTTCTTAATTTTCCGGGTTTTTATCATTAACCTTTAATTGGGAAATCAGGAGAAAAACAAGAGAGGGAGAAGAAGGAGAAGAAGCTACAAGCTAAGAAAAACAAGATGAAAGTAATTTTCTTTCTCTTGATCACTTTCAAGTTTGATTCTTTTGTTGTATTGGTCTTCTCGTTAATTTATCTTCGTTCTAGGTTTGATTGGTATAGGGATTGATTCAATTGAAACTTTCGTTGTTCACTTTGTGTATCTTTGAATTATGTTCAATTGCAAATTTTTGTTAAAAACATTAGTATATGGGATTTAAAAATTGTTTTTGTTTAATGGTTTCATACACAATCCGGTGGGTGTTTCATTAGATTGTGTTCTCAATTCACATGTTATGTTCTATAGAGATGATTTTTAAAATAAATTCTTAATGAAACTTGAAATTATTGTTGTTTCCATTGCTAAACTATTGAGTGCTTAATTTGGATGATGATGGCATTAGGTGGATACTAAGGACAAGAAGAAGAGTTGCAGTAGATTTCAAGTGGGGAAGAAGAAGTTGAAGACGAAATTGACACCATTGGCAAAAGCCAAAGCTGCCCAAGCTATGGAGGTTGACAAGTGAAGTTTTGGTAGATCATTTTTGTAGAGTAACAGTCAATTTGTTATATGGAAAGGCTGAAGTTTTCTTCTTTGCCAATTGCGTTTATCTTGTAACATGATCATGCACTTTGTAAGCTGTTATTCTAAACCAATTGGTATGGTATACCTCCCGTTATCTTCAATTCACCCTGGTTGGAGTTACTCTACTTGCTGTGATGTTTTGTTGATGAATATGAAACAAAGTGATGTTAGTGTTATGTATGGATATATCATTATCATACATGAGAAACATGATGAGCTGAATGATGATATTGCTAAATATAACTCAAGAATGAGAACTCTATCTTGGTTCTTTCTGCTTAACTTTGGTTCCTTACTAAGGAAAGGATTTGATTACAATCTGGCTATTTGGGTCATTGCTCCTACATTTACATTATTCAGATCATGTTATTTGGGATTAGTTACTTCAACATGAGATGGCATTAGCCGTGATTCTTGCAGTTACAGGATGAAGGAGCACCTCTCCTCGCCATTGTCATCCCGTCCAATCCCTTCAATGTAAGTGCTGTTTTTCGTGTTCTTGGTTCAATGTTTTTATATAAATATCTTCCTTTGGTGTGCAAATTGCAGTCTATCAAGAAACAAGAAGTGCCAGACAGGTCAGGTTGGTGAGTCATGTCAACTTCCCAGATCCACTTATCCAGTTTGTCTCTTTATCCAGAAAACCGTTAGTGATGCAAATGGGATGTATTATAGTCTCTGCTAAGGACAACCTATGCCATCCACTTGATGATGTTGTCCTCTGCTTCCCCTGAAATCAATGATTTGCCCATGACTTCTCCAAAGTTTAGATTTTTATTTTATTTTATTTTATTTTATTTTCTCTGGTAGATTGCTGTAGGCAAATGAATGCATAAGGTTCTGCCGAACATAAACCTAAATCCTACTAAGGTTTTGCTTTGTTCTCTAATAGGTTTAGACTTTAGAGTTTTTGTTTCAATATAAAATTATAAGATAATGTGCAAATGCGTCATCAAACTTTTATGAATATGAGTACTTGTAAAATTCCCAATATGGTGTCACGGTATGTAACATTTTATGTTTATTCCGGTTTTATTCTCGTGGTTGTTACTTTAAATTGCGCTCGGTATATATTTGAGGATCAAATTTTTAAATTGCGCTCGGTATATATTTGAGGATCAAAAGTGAAAAAAATATTAATATCCCTAACAAGAAAATAGAAACCAGAGTCATTTTTATTTATTTATGTATTTAATTTAAAAAGAAAATAAAGTGAACTTATCCATATGATGTCTATTTCCGGTGGAGGCCTGTGGGTTTTCAATCTTCAGAACTTTTGGTGCAACGGACTCCAATCACTCATCTCTTCAGGTACCACACAAATACAATGACGCAACACACAGATATCTCTCAATCCATCTTATTATATCTATACACCAAGAAAGAGAAACAGTTGTTCACTCTCTGCCCCACACTCGAAATTTCGCTTCAATTCAGATAAGGACTTGACACTGCCAAGAGGTATACTACAGTACAGTAAGTTCACCATTCTCTCACCACTGCTGTTTCCCACTCTCCCTTTGTCTGGGTTTGAAATTCAACCACATTCACGGGGTTTTTGCTTTCTTGGTTAACTCTTTTCTTTTTATCCTCAAGTAAATAAATTTCGAGTTTGTGGAGCTGAAATTGGTTGCTGGCTGTCAAAGATTGGATTTTTCAGTGATACATTTGATGGGTTTCGGTTGTTCTTGCTAAAGGGTTGTGGCTCTGCTCTGAAGATTGCTTGGTGTTGAAGAGTGTGTTGGGGATTGAATATGGGTGGGTGAGAGTGGACCTTACCTGACCTGACCTGGCCTGATCAGCTAGAAATGTTTTGTGTTTGTTTGGTTTTGTCTTCACATTGAAGCCTTTCCAGGTCTCACCATGTTTGGTGAGCTGTAAAAAATCTGGGTTCTTTGCTTTTTCAGTAATCCTAGTTCTTTGAGTTTGGACTTCATTTTCTGTTTCTTAGAGCTCTTTAACTTGTCAATTCAAATTATTTGTACATCCTGTTCTCTCCCTTTCTTCAGTCCAGTGTTTGTGAAGAAATCCTTTTACTTTAAACTTACTTTTTCCTTAATCTTCCCCTTCTCTTACTGTTTAATGCAATCTTTTTATTTTTTTTATTTTAGGCCTTGTACTGTACTTCTATGATTTCAAACATTATTAAAACATTGGGGATTTTCTGTGTTGTGGATTTGTAGGTTTTGACTGTCATCTGTAAATGCAGAACTGAGATTCATGTTCATCCATTCTGGATTGTGAGTGTGGTCTCAAATTCAAGTGCATTTTAAAGCACCATGATCTTCATATTCAAGCTAATAGCTTTGCTAATTTGGGTGTTGTGGCAATCAGGTGATCTTTGGTACAAGAAGGGTAGATTCTCGTTTAGGTTTTTTCTCTTGAGGTTTGGCAACTCATTGAATTAGATTCTGCATTGTTTGAGTTGTTCTCGAGAACAAAGTAGATGTATGGATCCGAGGGAAGCTATGACGTCACCTGGAACAGCTTCCTATTATATGCCGAGAGGGATGACTGGGTCCGTGGCTAGTGTACAGGGAACGACAAGCATGCATCCCTTGTTAACTGGTGCTGGTGTTCCCTTTCAATCGAGTAGTGGCAACAGTTCGGTTGGGCAAACGTTAGTTGTAGATCCTTCGTCAACAGCTTTGCCACAGAGCGAGCCTCCTTTACGCAGAAAAAGGGGAAGGCCCCGGAAATATGGAGTTGATAGCAGCAAAGTTTCATTAGCATTGACTCCTCCATCTGCTCCTGCTGCCAGATTAACGCCATCTCAAAAGAGGGGCCGAGGAAGGCCACCTGGAACTGGTCGAAAGCAACAACTAGCTTCACTTGGTAATACTCTAAATTGATGATTAGCTTTTGGCACCGCATTTAAGCAACCATGACCAATTCTTTCTCAGTTGTATTCATATGCAGCCTCGATAATAGAACGGATATGTTTTATGATTCTGAAGTGGTTTAGGCTTATTAACAACTTTGATTGCTTTTATTAGGTGGATGGATGTCTCATTCTGCTGGAAGTGGCTTCACTCCACACATCATCACTGTGGCGGTAGGAGAAGTACGTGATCTACTTTTTGGTCTCTATATGTAATTGACTCGTTATCTAAAATAAACCAGTGCATGTGCATTTGGGTATATCTTTTGTCTCTCTTCTTACGGTTAAACACAAGTTGTTTGTGCCATACCAGTTGGATTTATTGAGCCAGGAAATGAAGTTGTTCGTACTATTGATATCTGTTATCCATCTATAGAGATTTGTGAAATTGTGCGTCATTGTGAACTTCTGCAGGACATCACAACAAAGATAATGTCTTTTTTGCAACAAGGCCCTAAAGCTGTATGCATCTTGTCAGCTAATGGTGCTGTCACCACTGTAACCCTTCGTCAGCCATCGACTTCGGGTGGCACTGTCACATACGAGGTTAATTGATTCGATCTATGTGTTATTATTCATGTCTTGGATCGCCCGTGCCCCCCAGAAATCAAACTTGAGTGCATCTTGTCCTTTACAGGGGCAGTTTGAAATATTATCTCTCTCGGGCTCCTACTTGCTGAGTAATAATAGCAGCGGTCCTCAGGGCCTAAGAACTGGTAGTCTTAGCATTTGTCTTGCTAGTCCAGATGGTCGTGTCATAGGAGGTGGAGTCGGGGGAGTTCTCATAGCAGCCAGTCCTGTTCAGGTACCCTTTTTATTGCTTCAACAGTCCATCCATATTCTGCAAAATTTGCCTAAATGAAATTGAGTACGTACATTCCTAAATGATTACTTTAGGTAATATTGGGGAGCTTCATATGTGTTGGCTCCAAGGCGGCAAAGAGCAAACCCCCGGTGAGTATAGAAGGTGCAGCAGCACATTTAAACCGCCAGAGTTTTGACAATTCTGTAACTCCATCCGATATGCAACAGAACCAGAATCTGAACTGGCCTCTGCAATGAGTGTCTGGACAGGTTCAGGTCAGCCAGATATACAAAGTTTCCATATTGACATTGATTTGACGCGAGGATTACAGCTTCTTCCAACAGTAGAATATGAAGTGTATATATATATGTATGTATGGTGTGAAGGCCAACTTGGTGTAAGGCTATAACTGTCTTCTAAACTTGAACTTTTTGACACATGACATATAATGTTGGTCTGAAGTGAAGAATATAATGTTTTGCACTGCTGTGAAGAACCCAAGTGCGAGCTGTTAATGTAACTTTTTGATTTGTATTTTCTTAGACATACATCACATAAAACCTTGGGGATTTTTCTGTAAATTCACTTATGAGAACAATTGAGCTTGAGCTGTTGCAAATCTTGAAGATAAAAAACTGATCTTTGTTTTGGCTTGGAATTGTTGCACTCATATTGGTTCTGGTGACCTTCAGAGAAACATTGAACACAGAAAAAAGTGAGAATTACAGAAGCAAAGAGAGGGGATGGCTTGTGTAGCAGTAACTATTGTTGTGAGGATAATAGAGGTTGGGCTCTTGCAATCTCAGCCTGGTCCAGTTGCACTAGAAAACTAATTCATTTGCACTGGTATCGGCATCATGCAAAATGAGACTCTAACCCAGTCAAAGAATCTATTGGATCTTTGATCCATCTCTATTTCATCAGTGGAAAAAAAAAAAGCAGTGACCCTCCAACTCTTGAATTATTGCAGCAGTTAAATTAAAGTTGGGGAGAAAAGTAAAGGAATCTTTTGAGTTGGAAAGCTAAAGCTTAAAAAAGCTGTCGGCATAGATAGGAATTATTGCAGTCATCAGATCAGTGGCAATACCCAATTGCTTCATATCAAATTCCATTCATCATCTTGCTTCACTTGCTTCTGCAAACAAGCTCAGAAACAAAAACAACTATCTCATTTACATTACACCTACACCAATACAGATTGAGAAGAATGGCTTGTGTGGTTGTACTTTCTCTTATGAGGACGCTAGAGCTTGAGTTCTTGCAACCTCTCCCTCGTCCTATTCTACAACAAAAGGAACTCATCCCTTGCAACAAAGACTTGGTCCTATCTCTCCATAACAAGCTTGGATTTCTGATGGAACTATTCGATGAGAACAGAATGGATGGTGTTGAAGCAATAAAAGAGTTGGAAACAAAGCTCAGAGATGTAGCTTCTAGGATTGAGGATGAAATTGAACTCCAAGTAGTACATCTTTATGAGGAAGAAGAAGAAGAAGAAGAGGAAAACAGAATTTTTAAAGGAATTTTTGACGGGTTTGTGAATCTGACATTTCAGCCACAAGAAGAAGAAGAAGAAGAAGAAGAGGAAAAGCCACAGGGTGAGAAAAGCAGTACTCATCATTGCCAGAGGCTTCATCAAATTTTGCATCCGCTAAGAGGAAAATCACATCCTTGTCTGAAATTCCATCGTATTTTGCACCGAGCTGTACAAGACATTGATGCAATCACTCAAGAGTTGGCAAAAGCCAAGGAGGAGTACCAGCTTTTCAGACATCATCTACAATCAAGAACAAAGCAGCCTGCCTCCCTTCCTGATTTACCAATACCTATTGATGAAATTATCACCATGCCTGATTCTTCCCACCATGCTTCACACTCCAAAGAAATAATGGTAGGAAAACAGGATGAGTTCGAGATTATAAAGGGGATGCTAATCCAACATCCATCTAAGCAACTACAAATTGTCTCCATTAAAGGTATGGGTGGTATTGGTAAGACAACATTAGCAAGAAAAATTTATGAAGATTCATCAATCACCTCCTACTTTGATAAGCGAGCATGGGCTGTCGCATCACAACATCACAATACAAGACAAATGCTCTTAGGCCTTCTTGGTTTCAATGACAATAATGCAGGCAGCAGCAGTGATGAGGACATAGCATTAAAACTCTATCAAAGTTTGAAGCATCAAAGGTACTTGGTTGTGATGGATGATCTATGGAGTGTAGAGGCATGGGATGCTGTCAAAGCTTGCTTTCCCGATGATGGATATAGTAGTCGAGTATTGTTGACTACTCGCCTTGCGGAGGTGGCTAATCATACCTGCTCCAAAGATGACTTCTCTCATCAAATGCAATTGTTAGAACAAAGTGAGAGTTGGCAACTATTTAATGAAAAGGCATGTGAATCTCGCGGTGCTGAATTTGAGACGATTGGGAGACCGGTAGTTGAAAAATGCAAAGGACTACCTTTGGCAATTATTGTGGTTGCAGGCCTTTTTTCAAAACTCAACACTCTAGATGAGTGGAAAAATACTGCCAATGCTCTAAGTTCTTCTTCAGCAACTACTCTAGATGATGAAGAATGTTCGAGAATACTCTCATTGAGTTACAATCATTTGCCCCACAACTTGAAAGCTTGTTTCTTATATTTGGGAGTTTTTCCAGAAGATTGGAATATCAAGGCTAATGATCTTGCAAGGTTATGGCTTGCCGAAGGACTCGTAAAGGCATTTGAGAATGAAAGCTTTGATGCAGAGGCTAATAGGTACGTGCAAGAACTTATGGAAAGAAACCTAATAATTTTAAGCCAGCTAAGCTGTTGTGGAAGAAAAATTAAGAGGTTTAGGATGCATGATTTATTGCATGCCTTTTGTGTGAGAGAAGCTCAAAAGGAGAACCTTTTGCATGTTGTCCAGAGTGAAAATAGTTGTTATTTTCCTCAGAAAGGTTTTCGCTGGGTAAGCATCCAATATAAAGATTTTAAGATGTCTACAATACAACATTTTACTTGGAAAAGCTATAGATCCTTCTTCAGTTTTTTGGAGATGAAACAATTTTCAATTTCTAAGTACTGCAATCTACTGAGAGTATGCTTCAGCTATGATTCACATTTCTTGTTTCAAAATAATGTGAATACTGTCCATTTGAGATTCCTAAGACGTGTTGGAGGTGATATAGAACTGTCCAGGGCTCAGAGATTCCTAAAGTCAAGTCGTAGAAAGAGTGTAGATTTATCAAGGTCTTGGAATCTTCAATATTTTTATTCTTATGGAAGAGTATCAAATAGATTAGATGAAGGAAGGAAGTATTTGGAGTTTCCACAACTACACTATATTAGTTGTCTTTTTTGTGAAAATCCTCCCAATTTCGTTCATAAACTTGTTTGGATAAGAGCTAAAGATTGCTCAGAAGAATACGTTTCCAATATTCCATGCTTGAAGAAGGCACTTATTGCATATCAAGGCAACAAGAGTAATGCTTGCATTACCAACTTAGCCCATTTAGAGCAGCTCGAGGGACTTCGGATTTTTAGTCGGCCTGAATCACATACTTTATTTAATAATGATATTGTTCTCTTGAAAAACCTTAGGAAGTTGGCATTATATGGTATGGGATTTGAGTGGGAGAAAATTAATATTCTTAACAAGTTGCCTAGGCTAGAGGTGCTCAAGTTACTATGGAAGTCATGCGAAGGCAAATAATGGGAAATACAAGAGGAAGTGATATTTTGGCAGTTAATTGCTTTAGTTATCCATAATTGTGATCTCAGGCATTGGAAAGCTAGTAGTCATAATTTCCCAAAACTTGAGCACCTATTTATTTCGCATTGCCTTGAATTGAGAGAGATCCCAATTGAGTTTGCTGAAATTTCAACATTGAAGTCAATCAAATTAAAGAGATGTCTTCCTTCTGCTGTGGAATCAGCCAAGAAAATTCAGGACGAGCAACGTGAGTATGGAAACAACGAAATGGTTGTTATTGAGGAACAAACAATAGATGTATGTCACCCTTTAATTTCTCTTTCTGAATTGTATTTTTTCAACTTGTGCCAAGCAGATTTAATTAAATTCAGTGACTCATGACAGGTTTCGAAATCTAAGAAAAGACTGAGTGTAGAATTGTCAGTAGAATTGTCAGAAGAGTCAGAAGAATCAGAAGAGTCAGAAGAGTCAGAAGAATCAGATGAGTCAGAAGAGGATAACTGATCATTGATACCTTGTATTCACTTTTAGGCAGAAGACAACTGTTCTAATCTCTGTATTCCATACAATTGAGTCAAGAGTATACACATATTTATACTAGGCTATGCACACTAACTATGGTAAGGATCAATAATATCCCTAAGATATTATACACACTATCCCTAAGATATTATACTGAGATCATATCAAATATTCTTCTACCATATAATGTCTAACACTCCCCCTCAAGTTGGAGCATAGATATTGATAATGCCCAACTTGTTACATAAGTAATCTATTCGAGGCCCATTCATAGCTTTTGTAAAAAGATCTCCTAGCTGTTCTCCTGTCTTCACAAATCCAGTAGAAATTAAGCCTCGTTGTATCTTTTCACGAATGAAATGACAATCAACTTCAATGTGCTTGGTTCGTTCATGGAAAACAGGATTGGCTGCAATATGGAGAGCCGCTTGATTGTCACACCATAGCTTCGCAGGAATAGAGGCCTTGAGCCCTATTTCATCGAGAATGTGATATATCCACAAGATTTCACAGGTTGCCTGTGCCATTGCTCTATACTCTGACTCTGCACTCGATCGTGAGACAACATTTTGCTTCTTGCTCTTCCACGAGATCAAGTTTCCACCAAAGAAGACACAAAATCCGGTTGTAGACCTCCGATTCTCCTTAGACCCTGCATAGTCTGCATCTGCAAAGCACTCAATGTTCATATGTCCATGGTTTTGATATACAATTCCACGTCCTGGAGCACCTTTCAAGTAGTTCAGGATTTGTTCAACAGCTTTCCAATGATCAATAGTTGGAGATGCCATAAATTGACTTACAATGCTTACTGAGTAAGCAATATCAGGACGAGTTACAGTCAGATAATTTAGCTTACCAACCAATCTTCTATATCTTTCTGGATCATCAAATAGCTCCCCCTCTGATGTCAACTGTGAATTAGGGATCATTGGAGTATTGCATGGCTTAGCTCCTAGTTTCCCTGTTTCTGTCAATAGATCAAGTATATATTTTCTCTGGGAGAGAAGTATACCTTTCTTACTCCGTATTACCTCAACACCTAGAAAATATTTTAATGTACCAAGATCTTTAGTCTAAAATTGACTATGAAGAAAGGTCTTAAGAGATACAATACCAGCGGTGTCACTTCCAGTGATGACAATGTCATCCACATAGACAACTAATAAAATAATGCCTTTCTCAGAGCGTTTATAGAAGACAGAATGATCAGACTTTCCTTTTATCATGCCAAACCTCTCAATCGCTTGACTGAATTTCCCAAACCATGCACGAGGGCTTTGCTTAAGGCCATACAAAGATTTGCGAAGTCGACAAACCTTACCATACTCCCCCTGAGCAACAAACCCAGGTGGTTGCTCCATGTAGACTTCTTCTTGAAGCTCACCATGTAGAAAAGCATTTTTAATGTCCAGTTGATGTAAAGGCCAATTAAATGTAGTAGCCATAGAAATAAGCAATCTGACAGAGGTCAATTTTGCAACAGGAGAAAATGTGTCAGAGTAATCAATACCATAAGTTTGGGCATACCCCTTAGCAACTAGACGAGCCTTCAACCGAGCTACAGATCCATCAGGGTTAACCTTCACCACGAACACCCACTTGCACCCAATGGCCTTCTTCCCTACAGGTAAATCTACCAAGTTCCACGTACCATTGAAATCCAAGGCATTCATCTCCTCAATCATAGCGTTACGCCAACCAGAATGGGACAGTGCTTGTTTGACAGTTTTAGGAATTTGTATAGAGTCAAGAGAAGCAATAAAAGAGCAGGAGATATGGGGTAAGTGGTTGTAAGAAACAAACGATGAGACAGGATAAGTACAAGTTCTTTTACCTTTGCGTAGGGCTATTGGCAAGGTAGCTGGATCAGACGACGAAGAATCCGGCTCAGGACATGAATCTGGCGTATTGTCAGGAACCAAAGTAGTGTCGGGATTCGGGTTAACCTCTTTTGGAACAGACTGGTGTTTACGAGAATATACCTGAGTAATTGGTGGTCGGGAAGGTGGAATAGAAGCGGAAGCGGTGGTAACCGTATAGATGAGAATATCATCATCACTGTCGCCATGGCTTTCTGAATTTGAAGAAGGTGAGAAGGAAACATCTTCATGGAAGGTTACATCAATAGACACGAGATATCTTCCCGTTGACGGACAATAACACCTATACCCCTTTTGAACACGAGAATATCCCAAAAAGATGCACTTTAAAGATTTAGGATCTAATTTCGTGATATGGGGCCTTACATCTCTCACAAAGCAAGTACATCCAAATGTTTTTGGTGGAATAGGAAATACAGATTTGTGAGGGAAAAGACACTGATAGGGTGTTGTACCATGTAAGACCGAAGACGGCATACGGTTGATCAAAAAACAAGCAGTAGAGACTGCATCAGCCCAAAAATGTATGTTGATCAAAGGTATGTTTTCAAGAACACATAATTGTAATCACATACATACAGGACTGTATTTGCTGCAGTTTGATTCATGCATTTGTGATAGGACAGGCAACAACATATATTATTTTACAAGAAGAAGATGTTGTAATTACATAGATTATTTTGAGTGTTGGTGTGCATAGAGAGAGCCAATGTGTAATAATGCTAGTTTTCGGTCACTTGCTAGTCCAGTACATTACAGGGACTTGTCATGCTTCTTCTACTATACACTTCATACTATATTTCACTGCTGCTGTGGCTATACATCTCTACTTCTACAACCTATCTAATTCCACAAATTAATTTAAATTAAATTGGAATGAAATTGGTTATTGAAGTAGTACATTATATTATATTCCCAATTGAAATGACTTGAGGTAATATTTGGGAGCTTTCAATGTGTTGGATCAAAGGCAAAGATCAGAGCTGAACAAATCTGATGGGCAGAGGGAGAGAGAGAGTATTGCAGCGCAGGCGTTTGTAGAAACTCATTCAAGAATCCAATGCATCACCCCAGAATTGTAATTTACATTATTCTGCTGTCTTCCTCGTTGTTTGATAAGACTTGTATGTTATTCATGTCATGGTTCAACTGTGTCCTGGAAATCAAATTTGAGTGCATCTTTTCCTTTACAGGTAGGCCGGGGCAGTTTGAAATATTAATTATCCCTCATCTCATCTCTCGGCCTCCTACTTAATTGCTGAGTAATAGCATGCATTTGTGTTGCTAGTCCAGATGGTGGTGTCATAGCAACCATGCCAGTCCTTCTGTTCAGGTACCCACCCTTGCTTTTTAATGCTACCTTCAACAGTATAGTATGTAGTTCATATATATTCTGCAAATTTTTCCTAAACGAAATTCGTTATTCGAGTACATTCATAAATGACTACTTCAGTTCAGGTAATATTGGGGAGCTAGTATAGTCCAGATGGTCGGTCATGTCATAGTCATAGACTCATAGGTGGTGGAGTTCATATAGCAGTCAGTCCTGTCCAGGTACGTACCCGCCCTTTTTAATTTAATGCTTCAGATCAGCAGTATAGTACTGTATGTAGTTCATATATATATTCTGCAAATTTTGCCTAGCTCCATTATTCAACTAACCACATTCAATTCCTAAATGACTTCAGGCAATGTTGGGGAGCTTGCTTTCTATGTGTTAGTTGGCTCGAAATTAAAGCAATGATCAAATCCTGGATCAGTGAGTAATGTATAGAACGAAGGTGCACCAACAACTTTAAACTAACTGCCAGATCATGAGTTTGACAATTCGATCTGTGACACAACCAGAATCTGATGTATGTATAGTATGCCATCCTTTAATTTTAATTTGCTGTTAAATCACCTAAGAAAATTCAGGACGAGCAACTAGCTAGCTAGCTAAGAAGATTATATTGCTTGAAGAAAGCATCTCATTTAATTTTTCTCTAAACTTGATGATTTAGTTTCATTCATCATATCCTAATTTGTTAGTTTTCATTGATTCATATGACACCCAAGTTCTGATGAAGATGAGGGAGGAGTAGAGCAAAGCTTGATCGAGCAAAGAAGACTCCAAGTAATAGCAATACTAATGACCTGTCCGTTGTCCACATGACCACATATATAGAGCCAAACTCCAATAAAAGAAAAAGGTACCTACGTAATGTTATTTCTCGATCGAATATTAGGATTGTTGAGTTTGATTGGTCAAGACAGATTATTACACCAACAACTCTATAGAAAAACGTTAGTCCTTGTTTGACAAGGTTAATTGATTCCATCTATGTGCTATTATATTCTGCTGTCTTCCTTCTTGTTTTATAAGAGTTGTTATTTCATGTCTTGGTTCAACTGTGCCCCGGAAATCAAACTTGAGTGCATCATGTCCTTTACAGGGGCAGTTTGGAATATTCTCTCTCTCGGGCTCCTACTTGCTGAGTAATCCTCAGGGCCTAAGAACTGGTAGTCTTAGCTTTTGTGTTGTTAGTCCAGATGGTCATGCCATAGGTGGTGGAATTGGGGGAGTTCTCGTAGCAGCCAGTCCTGTTCAGGTACCCACCCTTTTTAATGCTTCTACATACAGTACTTCATATTCTGCAAATTTTGCCTAAATGAAATGTTTCATAGGAGAAGCTTGAATTCAAGCATAGGCTTTCAATACCTATAAGGGCAGCTAAAGAGCTAGCAAAGCGACGATGAGTATAAAAGCTAGGCACACCGCATTTAAACCACCAGAGTTCGTTTTGACAATAATTCGATCTCTGACTCCAATCCAGAATCTGAACTGGCTGGCCTCGATCTCAGTCTAGGATGGACATACAAAGTTCCATATTCACATTCATTTGACTCAATCGGGGATTACAAATTCTTTCAACATTATATTAGTTAGATGATGAAGTGTGTATATATATGGCCATGTGAAGGCCAATTAACTTGAACTTGAACTTGAACTTTTTAATTGAGACATGACACATATATATAATGTTAGGTTGGTCTGAACTCTGAAGATGTGTTAACCACAATATAATGTTTTGCACGGTTAATTCATGTTGTTGATTGGAAGTATTTTCTTACATATCACTCAAATCTTGAGGGTTTTACTGTAAATTCACTTATAATAACAACAGTTGCAATTCTTGAAGACCAAAACTTGCAAATCTTGAAGATAATATACTGTACTAGTAATCTAGTATTCTCATCTCATGAGATGAAACTAATTTGGTCGAAACTTTGTCAAGACCATTTGATTGGTCCATCTCTATTTGATTGATTGGTGGGGAAAAAGAAAAAGTAGCAGGCCCTGCATACTTTTGAATTATTGCATAATGGAAACATTAGACCTACTTTAAAGCAAAAGGTTAAAAAAGCTGTCGGCAAGGAAGGAATTATTGCACTCAAGATCAGATAAGTGGCATTAATTACCCAATAATTCATCTTCATCATATCATATTCCTTCCATTCATCATCTTGCTTCAGTTGCTTCTGAAAACCTTCTCTCTCTCAAACAAGCTCAGAAACAAAAAATGTTTGGCTTGGAATTGTTGCACTCATATTGGTTCTGGTGACCTTCAGAGAAACATTAAACACACAAAAAATGTCACAATTACAGAAGCAAAGAGAGGGGATGGCTTGTGTAGCAGTAACTATTGTTGCGAGGACAATAGAGCTTGGGCTCTTGCAATCTCAGCCTGGTCCAGTCGCACTAGAAAACTAATTCATTTGCACTGGTATAGGCATCATGCAAAATGAGACCCTAACCCAGTCAAGAATCTATTGGATCTTTGATCCATCTCTATTTCATCAGTGGAAAAAAAAAAGCAGTGGCCCTCCAACTCTTGAATTATTGCACCAGTTAAATTAAAGTTGGGGAGAAAAGTAAAGGAATCTTTTGAGTTGGAAAGCTAAAGCTTAAAAAAGCTGTCGGCATAGATAGGAATTATTGCGCTCATCAGATGAGTGGCAATACCCAATTCTACTTCATATCATATTCCTTCCATTCATCATCTTGCTTCAGTTGCTTCTGCAAACAAGCTCAGAAAGAAAAACAACTATCTCATTTACATTACACCTACACCAATACAGATTGAGAAGAATGGCTTGTGTGGTTGTACTTTCTCTTATGAGGACACTTGAGCTTGAGTTCTTGCAAACTCTGCCTCGTCCAATTCTACAGCAAAAGGAACTCATCCCTTGCAACAAACAATTGGTCCTATCTCTCCACAACAAGCTTGGATTTCTTATGGAACTATTCGATGAGAATAGAATGGATGGTGTTAAAGCAATAAGAAACTTGGAAACAAAGCTCAGAGATGTAGCTTCTAGGATTGAGGATGATATTGAACTTCATGTAGTACATCTTTATGAGGATGAAATTCAACTCGAAGAAGAGGAAAACAGAATTTTTGAAGGAATTTTTGATATTTTTGACAAAATTGTGTATCATACATTTCAGCCACTGGAAGAAGAAGGAGAAGAAGAAGAAGAAGAAGAAGAAATGCCACAGGGTGAGAAAAGCACTCATCATTGCCAACGCCTTCATCAGACAAGTACTCATCATTGCCAGAGGCTTCATCAAATATTGCATCCAGTAAGAGGAAAATCACATCCTTGTCTCAAATTCCGTCGTATTTTGCACCGAGCTGTACAACACATTGATGCCATCACTGAAGAGTTGGCGAAAGCCAAGGAGGAGTACCAGCTTTTCAAACATCATCTACAAGCAGGAACAAAGCAGCCTGCCTCCCTTCATGTTTTACCAATACCTACTCATCAAGGTATCACCAAGCCTGATTCTTCTCACAATGCTTCACGCTCCAAAGAAAAAATGGTTGGAAAACAGGATGAGTTCGAGATTATCAAGGAGATGCTAATCCAACATCCATCAAAGCAACTAGAAATTGTCTCCATTAAAGGTATGGGAGGTATTGGTAAGACAACATTAGCAAAGAAAATTTATGAACATCCATCAATCACTTCCTACTTTGATAAGCGAGCATGGACTGTCGCATCACAACATCACTGTAAGAGGCAAATGCTCTTAGATCTTCTTGGTTCCAAAGACGATGCAGACAAAAGCAGTGATGAGGACATAGCATTACGACTCTACCAAAGTTTCAAGTGTCAAAGGTACTTGGTTGTGATGGATGACGTATGGAGTGTAGAGGCATGGGATGCTCTCAAAACTTGCTTTCCCAATGATGAATATGGTAGTCGAGTATTGTTGACTACTCGCCTTGCTAAGGTGGCTAATCATATCTGCACCCAAAATGACTTTTCTCATCAAATGCAATTGTTAGAACAAAGTGAGAGTTGGGAACTATTTAATGAAAAGGCATGTAAATCTCGCGGTGCTGAATTTGAGACGATTGGGAGACTGGTAGTTGAAAAATGCAAAGGACTGCCTTTGGCAATTATTGTGGTTGCAGGCCTTTTTTCCAAGCTCAATGCTCTAGATGAGTGGAAGAATACTGCCAATGCTCTAAGTTCTTCTTCTCGAACTACTCTAGATGATGAAGAATGTTCGAGAATACTCTCATTGAGTTACAATCATTTGCCCCACAACTTGAAAGCTTGTTTCTTATACTTGGGAGTTTTTCCAGAAGATCACGAGATCAAAGCTGTTAATCTTGCAAGGCTATGGCTTGCTGAAGGACTCGTTAAGGCATTTGAGAATGAAAGCGTTGATGCAGTGGCTAACAGGTACATACAGGATCTTATGGATAGAAACCTAATAATTTTAAACGAGAAAAGCCGTTGTGGAAGAAAAGTTAAGAGTTTTAGGATGCATGATTTATTGCATGTCTTTTGTGTGAAAGAAGCTCAAAACGAGAAACTTTTGCATGTTGTCGAGAGTGAAAATAGTTGTTATTTTCCTCAGAAAGGTTTCCGCTGGGTAAGCATCCAATATGAAGATTTTAACATGTCTACAATACAACATTATACCTTGAAAAGCTATAGATCGGTCTTCAGGTTTTTGATGAGCGGATCATTTTTAGATTTTAGAAATAGCAATCTACTGAGAGTACTCTTCTGTGTTAGTGGATGTTTCTGGCTCAAAAATATTGTGAATAATGTCCATTTGAGATTCCTAAGTGTTGGAAATGATATAGAACTGTCTAGGGCTCAGAGATTCCTAAAGTCAAGACGTAGAGAGAGTGTTGAATTGTTAAGGTCTTGGAATCTTCAAACACTTAATAGTCTTTATGGAAGAGTATCATACAGATTAGATGAAAGAGGGAAGTATTCGAAGTTTCCACAATTACACTTTATTTGTTGCAGTGAGTATTTTGATGGAAATCCTCCCCATTTTGTTCAAGAACTTTATGGGATAAGAGCTGCTGATTGCTCAAAAGAATACATTACCAATATTCCATGCTTGAAGAAGGTACGTATTCGCGGTGAAGGCAGAGAGATTATTGCTAGCATTGCAAACTTAGCCTATTTAGAGCAGCTCGAGGTACTTTACATTTCAAGTTGTCTTGGAACACATACTCCAATAAATAATGATATTGTTCTCTTGAAAAACCTTAGGGAGTTGATAATATATGGTATGGGATTTCAGTGGGAGGAAATTAATATTCTTAGCAAGTTGCCTAGGCTAGAGGTGCTCAACTTAGAACCGAAGTCATGCCTAGGCAAAGAATGGGAAATACAAGAGGAAGTGATATTTTGCCACTTAATTGCTTTAGTTATCTATCAACGTGATCTCAAGCATTGGAAAGCTAGTAGTCATAATTTCCCAAAACTTGAGCACCTATATATTAGGTATTGCCGTGAATTGAGAGAGATCCCAATTGACTTTGCTGAAATTTTAACATTGAAGTCAATCGAATTACGGGGATGTCTTCCTTTTGCTGTGAAATCAGCCAAGAAAATTCAGGACGAGCAATGTGAGTATGGAAACAACGATATGGTTGTTATTGAGGAAGAAACATTAAATGTATGTCACCCTTTCTCTTTCTGAATTGTATTTTTTCAACTTGAGCCAAGCAGATTTAATTGAATTCAGTGACTCATGATAGGTTTTGGAATCTGAGGAAGGCCTGAGCGAAGAAGAGGCAGAAGTGGATAACTGATAATTGATGCGTTCCTTGTATTCAATTTTAGGCAGAAGACAAGAATGGTATGTTTTCAAGAACACAGAATTGTAATTACATACATACATACATACAGGACTGTATTTGCTTTCAATTTGTTGGCTCAAAGGCAAAGATTAGAGCTGAACAAATCTGATGGGCAGAGGGAGAGAGAGAGTATTGCAACACAGACGGGCAGGCGTTTGTAGAAACTCATTCAAGAATCCAATGCTTGCAAGAATTGATGGATAATGAATATATGCTAATATGCATGCATGTATGCTATCTATTTCTTGGAGTTTAGTTGTTGGAATCATATATATATCAGACAATCACAAAACTCTGGGGAGTGCTCAAACTTCATGTCTTGTATTTTAGTACTGAATTGGAAGCTTAAAATTTTATAATATTCTTGTAGCTTAGATTTGCAATATATGTGTGTGTGTGTGTTAATGATTTGCACAATCTTATGTTATATATTTCATTAAATACTTTGTTGATGGCATGATTAGGCAAATACTGTTACCGAGTATTGCTTTGTCAATTTCTCTTAAATTTCTTTCCCAGTTGGAAAAGAAAACATTTACATCATATTTTGCTTTCTTTCTCATGTTCTATATGATAATAAGGAAGTCGAAGCTTGTGTTCATTACATAATTTCTGTAAAACAATTTTCCTTCCTTTTGGATTGTGGCATTCAGTTGTCAAAGGATCTATTTGTGAAGATACAATTAATGGTCTAGCAAAAGCCTCCGTTTCACATGCATTACTTTGTAAACAGTACATGATTCTTTCTCAAGTTTTCTTAAAAATTCTTCAATTCCTGGGTTCTTGTCCTTCACAGGCCGGCCAGGGGCAGTTTGAAATATTCTCTCTATCAGCCTCCTGCTTGTTGAGTAATAGCAGCGGGCGGTCCGCAGCTAGCGTTTGTGTTGCTAGTATAGTCCAGATGGTGGTGGAGTTGTCTGCATATTTTGCCTTTTTAAGCTTCAACAGTTCCTTGTCTGCATATTTTGCCTAAACGAAATCCATCATTCAAGCACAGTCATTCCTAAATGACTTTAGGTAATGTTGGGGAGCTTTAATTTCTGTCTTTTATGATTCTGAAGTGGTTAAGGCTTATTAACAACTTTGATTGCATTTGTTAGGTGGAGGGATGTCTCGTTCTGCTGGAAGTGGCTTCACTCCAGAAACCATCACTGTGGCGGTAGGAGAAGTATGTGATCTACTTTTTGGTCTCTATCTGTAATTCACTCATTATCTAAAATAAACCAGTCCATGTATGTGCATTTAATTTGCATATATCTTTTGTCTCTCTTCTGATCTTATGGTTAAACACAAGTTGTTTGTGCCATATCAGTGGGATTTATTGCGCAGGAAATAAAGGTGTTTGTTCGTACTATTGATATCTGTATGCTATCCATCTATAGAGACATGAAATTGTGCATCATATCATTGCGATCTTGTGCAGGGCGGACATCACAACAAATTAATGATAATGTCAAGTCGTTTTTGCAAAAAGCTAAGATAGGCCCTAAAGCTGTATGCATCTTGCAGTGGCACCGTCATATACAAGGTTAATTGATTCGATCTAGCTATGTGCTATTACATTCTGGTGTCTTCCTTGTTGTTTGATAAGACTTGTATGTTATTCATGTCATGGTTCAACTGTGCCCTGAAAATCAAATTTGAGTGCATCTTTTCCTTTACAGGTAGGCCGGGGCAGTTTGAAATATTAATTATCTTTCATCTCATCTCTCGGCCTCCTACTTATTGCTGAGTAATAGCAGCGGACCTCAGGGCCTAAGAACGGGTAGTCTTAGCATGCATTTGTGTTGCTAGTCCAGATGGTGGTGTCATAGCAACCATGCCAGTCCTTCTGTGCAGGTACCGGCCCTTTTTAATGCTACCTTCAACAGTAAGTAACTCATATAGATTCTGCAAATTTTGCCTAAATGAAATCCGTTATTCGAGTACAATCATAAATGACTACTTCAATTGCAGGTAATATTGGGGCGATTTCTAGTTATATATGTGTGGCTCCAAGGCAAATTAAAGAGCAAATTAAACCCCCAGTGAGTATAGAAGGTGCAGCACATTTAATTTAAACCGCCAAAGTTTTGACAATTCTGTAACTCTAGCCGATATGCTATTTCTTGTATTTCGATCAGTAGTTGGAATCAAACAATCAGAAAACTCTGGGGATGGAGTTCTGAGTGAAACTTCACATTTAATTAGTAGTTGGAAGCTTAAAGCATAGAGTGTACGTGTTCTTCTTACAGATGGAGGCCCTGAGTATTACTTTGTCAACTTCATTCTCTTAAATTGCCTTCCCCGTATTGTATCATCCTTAGCTTATATTATCCTTTGCTTTGCAGGGGCAGTTTGAAATATTGTCTCTCTCATGGCATGCTCTGCTTCCTGAGTAATAGCAGCAGTCCTCAGCTCAGGGCTGATCGAACTTGTAGTATTGTTGCTGAGTAATAGCAAGCCCCAAAAATGTGTCCGGGTTGAAGACAAAGGGTTGTTGTGATAGTATAGTCCAGATGGTCGGTCGTGTCATAGTCATAGGTGGTGGAGTTGGCCGGGGGAGTTCACATAGCAGCCAGTCCTGTCCAGGTAATTTAATGCTTCAGATCAACAGTATACTACTGTATGTAGTTCATATATATTCTGCAAATTTTGCCTAGCTCCATTATTCAACTAACCACATTCAATTCCTAAATGACTTCAGGCAATGTTGGGGAGCTTGCTTTCTATGTGTTAGTTGGCTCGAAATTAAAGCAATGATCAAATCCTGGATCAGTGAGTAATGTATAGAACGAAGGTGCACCAACAACTTTAAACTAACTGCCAGATCATGAGTTTTGACAATTCGATCTGTGACACAACCAGAATCTGATGTATGTATAGTATGCCATCCTTTAATTTTAATTTGCTGTTAAATCACCTAAGAAAATTCAGGACGAGCAACTAGCTAGCTAGCTAAGAAGATTGCTTGAAGAAAGCATCTCATTTAATTTTTCTCTAAACTTGATGATTTAGTTTCATTCATCATATCCTAATTTCTTAATTTTCATTCATTCATATGACACCCAAGTTCTGATCGAATATTAGGATTGTTGAGTTTGATTGGTCAAGACAGATTATTACACCAACAACTTTATAGAAATTCTTTTTTTTGTTTTTTTTTTTTGTTTTTTTAATCTTCAAATCATATATATATATATATATATATATATATATATATATATATATATATATATATATATACACACACACACACACAGTGTTTTAATTTAGTACTTGGAAGCATAAAGTAGACTTATTTTTATGGCTTCATTTTATAACTTTGAAATATTTATGTGTTTTTTGTTTGATATTTCTACAAACAAAATTTGATTAAATGTATTTACATTGGCCAAGGTTTTTTTGCCGATAAAAGTGCTGTGGGCATGGAATAATTGGACTCAGATGAGTCAGATCAGATCAGTGGCAATACCCAGTTCTAGTTGATATAATATTCAATTTATCTTGTAGACCCTAAGTGAGCAGAAAAGTATTAAAACTAGCTCTAGAAAGTTGGCAGTTGTGGTTGATTAGCTTATCATTACTTAGCTTAACACCCTTTTTGGTCCACTATTAATTAAAAACTAAAAACTACACATCATTCATATTAATTAAAACCAACATGCATATTGCTGGAAAGTCTTCTTGCTTGCCCAACCACTACAACATTTAAACATTACCTTAATTAAAATATAATGACCACTGACATGCTCTACTTTTTCAATGTGGAGCCACTATCTTGAATTATTCCACCATGGAGAAAGTAATGGAATGTTGAAATTTAGTAAGTGGAGTTGTATACTCTTTCAACAATGGTACCCCACTAATTATACATCAAACCAAGTAATATCCAATGTTCATTTTTTGACTTAGAAAAAAAAGCTGTGGGCATGGAATTATTGCCCACAGATTAGTGGCATTTCCCAATTCCGGTTCATATCATCTTCATCCTCCTAACCTTCACTCAAACAATTCAAACTCATAAACAACTCTCTCTCTCTCTCTCTCTCATATTTACAGTATAACACATCAGGCCAACACCGAGAAAAATGTCTTGTGTGGCTGTACTTTCTCTTATGAGAACAATGGAGCTTGAGTTCTTGCAACCTCACCCTCGTCCAATTCTACAACAAAATCAACTACTCATCCCTCCCAACATAGACTTGATCCAATCTCTCCATGGAAAGCTCCAATCTCTTATTGAGTTATTTGATGAGAATAGGATGGATGGTGTGGAGGCTATTAAAATCTTGGAAACCAGACTCAGAGATGTAGCTTTCAGAGTAGAAGATGAAATTGAAATCCAAGTAGTACATCTTTATCAGGAAGATGTAGAAGAAGAGGGAAGGGATACTCAGGGATGTTCAATGCTTTGCCAAATTGTTCATAGGACAAAGAGAAAACCAAAAACTTGTCCTTCTCTCACACTTCGTTATATATTGCAACAAGCAATACAAGACATTGATGCCATCAAAGAAAAGTAGATGAAAGTGAAGGAGGAATATGAGCTTTCAAAAGATCTACAAGGAAGAAATGCTGCCCTTCATGTTTTACCAATACCTACTGATCAAGTTATCACCACGGCTGATTCTTCCCACCATGCTTCACACTCTAAGGAAATAATGGTTGGAAAACAGGAGGAGTTCAAGATTATAATGGAGATGCTAATCCGACATCCGTCTAAGCAACGAGAAGTTGTCTCCATTAAAGGTATGGGAGGTATTGGTAAGACAACGTTAGCAAGGCGAATTTATGAAGATCCAACAATCAATTCCCACTTTGATAAGCGAGCATGGATTGTCGCATCACAACATCACAATAAGAGGCAAATGCTCTTAGATCTTGTTGGTTCCAAAGACAATGCAGACAGCAGAAGTGATGAGGACCTAGCATTGCAACTCTATCAAAGTTTAAAGTGTCAAAGGTACTTGGTTGTCATGGATGACGTATGGAGTGGAGAGGCATGGGATGCTGTCAAAACTTGCTTTCCAGATGATGGCAATGGTAGCCGAGTATTGTTGACTACTCGCCTTGTTGAGGTGGCTAATCATATTTGCACAAAAAATGACTTTTCTCATCAAATGCAGCTGCTAGAACAAAGTGAGAGTTGGAAACTATTTTATGAAAATGCATGTAAATCTCGTGGTGCTGAATTTGAGATGATTGGGAGACCAGTAGTTGAAAAATGCAAAGGACTGCCTTTGGCAATTATTGTGGTTGCAGGTATATTTTTCAAACTCAACACACTAGATGAGTGGAAAAATATTGCTAATGCTCTAATATGTTCTTTAGGATCAACTACTCTAGATGATGAAGAATGTTCAAGAATACTTTCATTGAGTTACAATCATTTACCCTACAACTTGAAAGCTTGTCTTTTATATTTGGGAGTTTTTCCCGAAGATGAGGAGATAAATGCTAACGACCTTGCAAGGCTATGGGCTGCTGAAGGATTTGTGAAGGCATTCAAGAATGAGAGTTTTGAAGCTGTGGCTATAAGGTATATAAAAGAACTCACTGATAGAAACTTAATTCTTGTAAGTAAATGGAGTTGCTGTGGAAGAAAAATTAAGGCGTTTAGAGTACATGATTTATTGCATGCATTTTGTGTGAGAGAAGCTCAGAACCAAAGTCTTTTGCATGTTGTCCATGACCATGAAAGTGGTTCCAATAATTCCCCTCAGAAAGATGTCCGCTGGGTAAGAATCCAATTGTACGGTTTTGACCTCTCGGAGTTGCATTCTTGTTCAAAAACTTGCCGGTCCCTCTTCTATTTTGCGAGGGCTTTCGTATGGTTAGATTTGAAAAGTTTCAATCTATGGAGGGTCCTCTACTCTACTACTGATTTCTATATGACAAAGAAAACTCCAGATCTTATCCATTTGAGATACCTACGTGCATCCGGTGAAAAAATGGCTATTGGTGATATATTACCATTCAAGACTTGGAATCTCCAAACACTTGCAAATATGCATTATTATGCATTTGAAGGAAGGAACATTTTGGAGTTTCCACAACTACAGTATATTCGCTGCGATGGATTTATCTGTTTTTTGTTTGATATTTCTACAAACAAAATTTGATTACATGTATTTACACTGGCTAAGGTTTTTTTAACTTCAAAATGAAAATCTATTGATTTTGGTATACGAAATTGAAGAAGTCTTCTTTTATTTAATTGCCAGGAAACAACAAATTTACTCTCTCTGTCATTAGTTTCAGCTAATTGCTGGGAATTAAAACAAATTTACATTCTGTCCTTTATGTAGGTTTTGACTGTCATCTGTATATGCACCATGATCTTCATATCTGAAGCTAATGACTTTGCAGCCAGTCCTGTTCAGGTACCCACCCTTTTTAATGCTTCTACATACAGTAGTTCATATTCTGCAAATTTTGCCTAAATGAAATGTTTCACAGGAGAAGCTTGAATTCAAGCATAGGCTTTCAATACCTATAAGGGCAGCTAAAGAGCTAACAAAGCGACGATGAGTATAAAAGCTAGGCACACCACATTTAAACCACCAGAGTTTGTTTTGACAATAATTCGATCTGTGACTCCAATCCAGCTGATATGCAACAGAGCCTAGGATTTACATACAAAGTTCCATATTCACATTGATTTGACCCAATCGAGGATTACAAATTCTTTCAACATTAGTTAGATGATGAAGTGTGTATATATATATGGCCATGTGACGGCCAATTAACTTGAACTTGAACTTGAAATTTTTGAGACATGACACATATATATAATGTTAAGTTGGTCTGAACTCTGAAGTGTTAACCACAATATAGTGTTTTGCACGGTTAATGCATGTTGTTGATTGGAAGTATTTTCTTACATATCACTCAAATCTTGGGGTTTTGCTGTAAATTCACTTATAATAAGAACAATTTCAATTCTTGAAGATCAAATCTTGAAGATAATATACTGTACTAGTAATCTAGTACGTATTCTCATCTCATGAGATGAAACTAATTGAGTCGAAACTTTGTCAGACCATTTGATTGGTCCATCTCTATTTTATTGATTGGTGGGGAAAAAAGAAAAAGTAGCAGGCCCTGCATACTTTTGAATTATTGCATAATGGAAACTTTACACCTACTATAAAGCAAAAGCTGTCGGCAAGGAAGGAATTATTGCACTCAGATCAGATAAGTGGCATTAATTCATCTTCATCTTGTTTTTGCTGACCTTCAATTCAAACAAACTCAGAAAAACAACAAATCATCACTTACATTACAATTGAGCTTGAGCTCTTGCAATTCTTGAAGATCAAAAACTGATCTTTGGCTTGGAATTGTTGCACTCATTTTGGTTCTGGTGACCTTCACAGAAACATTAAACACACAAAAAATGTCACAATTACAGAAGCAAAGAGAGGGGATGGCTTGTGTAGCAGTAACTATTGTTGTGAGGACAATATAGCTTGGGCTCTTACAATCTCAGCCTGGTCCAGTTGCACTAGAAAACTAATTCATTTGCACTGGTATGGACACCATGCAAAATGAGACTCTAACCCAGTCAAGAATCTATTGGATCTTTTATCCATCACTATTTGATCAGTGGAAAAAACAACAGTGGCCCTCCAACTCTTGAATTATTGCACCAGTTAAAGTTGGAGAAAAGTAAAGGAATCTTTTGACTTGGAAAGCTAAAGCTTAAAAAAGCTGTCGGCATGGATAGGAATTATTGCACTCATCAGATTCCATCCATTCATCATCTTTCTTCAGTTGCTTCTGCAAACCTTCTCTCTCTCAAACAAGCTCATAAAGAAAAACAACTCTGATCTCTCTCATTTACATTACACCTACACCAATACAGATTGAGAAGAATGGCTTGTGTGGTTGTACTTTCTCTTATGAGGACGCTAGAGCTTGAGTTCTTGCAATCCCTGCCTCGTCCAATTCTACAACAAAACCAACTCATCCCTTGCAACAAAGACTTGGTCCTATCTCTCCACAACAAGCTTGGATTTCTAATGGAACTATTCGATGAGAATAGAATGGATGGTGTTGAAGCAATAAAAAACTTGGAAACAAAGCTCAGAGATGTTGCTTCCGGGATTGAGGATGAAATTGAACTCCAAGTACTACATCTTTATGAGGATGAAATT